CCAATTAGAGACACGGGGACAAAGGGATTTTTAACAGTTATGGGATTAACATGAAAGGAAAGTTCTAAGCTCTTAACACACCTGATCAGGGATGTCTTCCTCAGAGCTGGCTTCCAAGTCTTGAGGAAAAGCACAGAAATCCCAACTGCACACTGAGCTGGAGTCTCCTCTGAGAAACTTCCCACCCCGTCCCAGAGTGACCCTACATGTTACAGAGGGGGCAGCAGATTCCACCCAAGTGCCTCAGCTGCAGAAAATCAGCCAAAACAGGCTGCAAAAGGTGACCCTTTTCACTTAGTTCAAGGAAACAGAGGCAGGTGAAGCTTGTGAGCAGGAATTCAGGTGATTTCCCAACTTGTGTGCACCGTTTAGGCAAAAAAAAATAATTATCCTGAATAAGTAATTTAACTTTTGTTAAACTGTGTCTTTCCCAACTCTTGTTACAGATTCTCCATGTGATGGGGAGTGTCACTTAAGCACACTTAAAAGCACCAAACAGAGCAGGGAGGGAAAAGTTACAGAGAGAACAAATCAGAAGGGAAGAACTGTCAGCTAAACGCTCCCTTAAACAAGATTTGGGAGTAGGATGGGAGGAAGGAAAAATGAACTCCCAAGGCTCAGAGAGAGGGAGACTTCTGAGGGGAGAATGTTTTCCAAGTGCTGCTATAAACAACACTGACAGGCCAAAATCACTGCCACTGCAGCCCATATGGAGTCCTGCTCCTCTGGAACGAGTTTCTAACGTGTTCTCATGGGAATACTGCAAAGCACATCCTGGTGAATCCCTTCTAGAAGCAAATCCTGTCTGGATTTGATACACTCATAACCACTCTTCTGCTAAATGCTGATGTACATAAGCAAAGGGCAATATAGATAAATCTGCTGTGTCAAATGGGGACTTTTAACAGCCAGTGCCACTGAAACAGAGGTAAATGATAACTCTGGGATTACTCAGGCTCAAACTACTGACCTGTAAATAGCAGAGAACTGCTGGGACTCTCCTGTACTCTGCACCTCAGAGGATGCACGTTGCACAGGGTGTGCTGTGGGAGCACCCAAACCCCTTTCCTTCACCAGAAAAACATCTGAGCTGTGGGAATCAGTCTCCCAAAAATCTTTAAAAAAAATCAGATCTCCATCATAATCTTCTAAAGAGTATCAGGACAAAATGTTGAAGGGAAGAGGTCAGCTGGTAGAAGTCAGATCAGGAGCACAACTTGGCAAATCAGACAGCCCTGCTGAGGGACCAGTGTGTGAAGAAGGCAATGATGCAATGGTGAGAACATTAATTTCTGGAAGCTCAGCTCCCTGTTTCCACTCAGATTTCCTTTGCAGCACGAACAACACATTCCCAGAAGCACCTGAAAGGTTCAGTGGTTCAATCCTGGGTTCCCTCCACCTTCACAGCAGCTCTACTGCAGCACTTGGGTGCTCAAGGAAGCAACTTTCCGAAACCAGCTAAGCAGGGTAACACAGAGGGAAGATCAGCACTTAGGAACTAAAAACCTTAGTTAGTGGCTGGATAAACCTTGGGAGAGGTGCCCTTCCCCAGGCTGGATTCTAGGAGAGGGAACTCTCTCAGGGGTATATTCCTAACTGTGGTTTTCCACCCAGGAGCTGCTGGTTTTGGCAGAGCTTCCAGCTCTTCTTTCCTGCCCCTCTACCACAGCCCATCACCCCACTGTGGTGCCAACAGAACAGTCTGTGAGGCTAAAGTTGTAAATTAAGTCACTGAAATTACTTGAGATACAAGTACCATTGCCCCAGAAAGTGAATCCAGTTTCTAGCAAACAGCTGGCTCAGTATGGAGCAGAAGCAGGAATTTCTTCAGCTGGCTTCACCACTAACACAGAGCAAATCCCTGAATAGTAAACAGTGCAGAATCTCTGGGATGTGCCCAACTTCAGACCTGTTCTAGTTAGTGAAAGAGTCAGAAGGAAAGGCTGATGATATCCTGGGAGGAAGAGAAATGATCTGAGCAGGGTTTTCAGATCTCTGCTTCAGTAAATTGAATTATGTACTCAGCTCAAAAAAACTCCAACACCCAAGATTGAGGGAGATCCACACCAGAATGTCCAATGTCCTGGGAATCTTGTGATCCTCCAAATCAGGATATATTGCAAAGATAGCCTGGGGAACACTTTTCTGCACAGCAGGCCTTTGGCTTACTCCCATTTGCTGCTTTGCCTACATCCACCTTTGGAAATTCCTCATGTAGGGAACCTGTTTGCTTAAAGGTTAGGCAGGAACTAACCAACAGTGCAGAGGGTGTCAGCGACCCCAAATGACTGGATTTTGTCAGATAGAACCTGGCTGCCCCTCACATGTCACCCTCACCCCCTCTGTCCTTGCACCCTTCATTTGTGAAACACTGATTATAAGTGACAATAAATAATCACAATGCCCTGAGGGTAAACATGGTAGGGACAGGGAGAGTCTTCTCAGAAGCCCAAGATGTGAAGACAGAAAGTGCCCTGTCAACTTAATAATACTGAGTTTCATAAGATCATGAGCCAAACATACTTCTGTGGCTTCCTGAAGGAATGGTCCTGCTACACCTTTACCTGTTGCTGCCATCTTCATTTACAAGTTGTCCTACTTCAAACAGGTTTAGATCATCTGGGGTTCCTAAAGTCTCCCCTGTGTTGCCATTATCCTTCTGACTGTTCTGCTTTTCCTTCTTCCTCTCCATCACATTTTGCAGCCGCCTCTGCTGTTGCTTCTGATAAGCCTTAAACTGGCTTTTAAAATCTTGGTTCACTTTTATGTCTGACTCCATTGTTTACTAAAAGCACAACGAAATAAAAAGTGACAGAGAGCAGAGATCAGCATTGCTTTGAAAAACATCCTCTTCTGGCAGCTGCTTTGCAGCTTTTCCTCACTGACCTCTGCAGAGTCTCCCACCACCTCCTCCTCTCCAGCCCCACGGCCCTGCTTCAAGTACCTTTCTCCTTAAATGGCTTTTAAACAGGCAGGTCTTTTTCATTCCAAAATTCAGTACTTTAAAATATTCTTAAACAGATCTGTTTGAATAAGTATTTTTACAGAAGAGCAGGTTGGGGCCAAATCCAAGCGAGTGTGGCAACGTGGCTAAAAGGAACATGGACTGTTTGGGGTCATCCAGCCCTACCTGACTAAAGGGCTTCCCATATTCAGGAAAGGTGCAAATCCCCCCATTTTTGGGTGTGTTTTTTGCTCCCTTTAGGCACTAGCCACCAAGACTGTGGTTTACACCTTTCACCCAAATTTCTAAGCACTGAGTGATAACATTAAAGTGATAATATTGCTCCTCAAAGTTTTCCTTAGGATGACTAAACACAACAAGCTTTCTGAGGTATTCCAGCCCCTTCTCCTTCTGTTTGACATTTGCTGCCAGCAAAAAAACCCTTGTGCACCTTTGGTCTGGGAAAACCAATCCCTTAATACTTCCAAAGGCACACCCTGCACTGACTAATTAATGCACTGATTAATTGCCCAAATGCACCCCTGTGCTTGTGTGTATCTTATGGGCTGAGACCCACTGGAGAAGGTGCATTAAGGATTGACAAGTGCAAAGAACAGAGTCCAGTGCCTCTGCACAGCCCACAGGGCTCTGGGTATGGGGGCTCGAAGAACTGTACAAACATTGATTGGAAAATCGATTTTAATTGATTAAGGTCGGTGCTGTGATCTGGAAAAAGCCTATGGAGATAAGGAGTCCATTTACTTAAGGACACTGCATATGAAATTTAGACAGCCTTTCTGGTTTCAGTGTCCTTTTGGGTTTTGGTGGGGTTTTTTTTTAACTTTACAATTATATTAGACCTCACTAAATTTGATAGATTTAGCCACTGACTTTAGAGATATTAAAGATAAACAACATCTTCAACCAGTAGTTGTCTCTGTTCTGAAAATATCCTAAAATTCTTAGCACAGTAGCTATTTTAGACCTTAAATCATCTTTATAATTATTCTCAGAAATTTCTTAACCACTTGCACTACATTATTAATTAATTGATTAATTAATGAATTACCTGTAGGCCAGAAGTATGCAGAGTACTCAAGGTGCAGCTATTTCACACAACACTGTGGTGGAAAAGCCCCCTAAAATCATTGAGCCCAACCATTAATCCAGCACCATCCTTGAGTTCACCACTAAACCATGCCCCCAAGTGACATTTCCACGTGTTTTTTGAACACTTCCAGGGATGGTGATTCCACCACTTGCCTGGGCAGACTATTCCAAAGCCTCTTTTGGTGAAGAAATATTCCCTAATATCCAATCTAAACCTCCCCTGGTGCACCTTGAGGCCGTTTCTTCTTTATCTGATGGTTTGGGAGCAACCTTTACCCTTCCTACCTGGATACCGGCTCCAAGCCTGGCACAGAGGGATCTGCTGTGCGGAAAGCAGATTTCCCTCTCCTCACAGAATCCCGGAATAGCTGGGATTTGAAAGGACCTCTGGAGATCATCCAGTGCAACCCCCTCCTAAAACAGGGTCACCTGGAGCAGGTGATACAGGAACGCGCCCAGGTGGGACTGGGATGTCTCCAGAGACTCCACGCCCTCCCTGGGCAGCTGTTCCAGCGTTCTGCCACCCTCCGCGTAAAGTTCCTCCTCGTTTTGAGGCGGAACTTCTCCTGGTTTAGTTTATAAACCGCAATTGTAACCCTACAATGGTAACTGTGAGCGCCCCGCCTCGCCCTGTGACCTGGTAGGACCTGGCAGGACCTGGCAGGACCTGGCAGCGCCGCGCTGCCCCCTCGCCCCAGGCCGGCTACCCCCTCTTTCAGCACCCCCCACCCCGCCCCCGTCCTACCCGAACCGCCTTTCCCGGCCCCGAGGGCACCGCGAGAGCCCTCCTGTGTCTCGCCCTTCCCTCCTGGGCAGCGCCGGGACCGGGGATGCGGCTCCGGATCCCGCGGCCGGTCCCGGTCCCGATCCCGGCCTGACGCGGTTCCCATGGCAACGGGAAGGCTTGCGCGCATGCGCCCGTCCCCTCAGCGCGGCCGCCATGATGGTCCCGCCATGATGGTCCCACCCCGCTCCCCTCCCGTCACCGCCATCCCGATGTCGCAGTTCCCGTAATTCCCGCACCAGTCCCGGCCCCTCGGCGTGACGGGAAAAGGGATCCGCTCCTTCTCCCGCCCCGCGGTGGGGAGGAGGGCGGCAGGAACAGGAAAAGGCGTCAGCGCGAACCCGGCGTCCTTCCCATCTCTATCCGTGTGGGAGCAGTCAAGGGCAGCAGGACTGTAGGAAATGGGAATCAAGGACAGCACCGGCTGGGAGTGTTCTTTCCAGGAGCGCTGCACTCCCTCAGGTCATTTTTATACAGGTAGAGCAGCTCACGCCATCCCTCTAGAACGGGATTGAATGTTCCCCCCAACAAATCCATAGGCAAACACTTGTTATCGCCAGGGCTCACTTTTATTCGTATTTAGCCTCCCACTGCTCTGTACAACATGTCACGGACAGGTGCAGTTTGTACCTTGTGCTATTTCTTACAGAGACGGCTGTAACATCTGATACTGCCACCGTGGAATGTAAGCTAACAGGAGAAAATGAGGTTTTTTTTTACAAATTGGCTTTTATTTTTGTGACTGCTGTTGGAGGCACAAGGGGTTTGAGTGTAAAATAACTTGCAGGGAAGGGTTTTAACACCTCAAAGGTGGTGAGGGGGGCTTTTCAGATTTAAATGTTTTAAATTTTCTATGGGCAACAACACTGCAGAAACCAGAGCTGGGTCAAACACTTTAAAAGCATTAGGACACCAAATCAAGGCTTAGTTTTCACAATATGTATTTTAAATGTTACATTTAGATGTTATTCAGAAGAACACTGTAAATAAAGTTACAAAATATAGTAATCCCAGGGTCTGATATAGCAAAAATAGGGAGCCCGTGTCTTCGTTAACAATGAATAAATATAACATTTAAATAGCTGCGACATACCAAGTACTTATCTCATGCCTTAAATAAAAAAAATAGGTGTTTATATATCTCTCTCAATATTTTAGAAGTCATTTAGTGCTACTGGAAGCTTCTAAATTACAAAGTTGGAGGCAGAGGATAAAAAATGACAGCAGGGCACTCCTGACACTCTGTGACAGAAGCCAATTCAGACTTTGTGGTTTTGGGCAACAACAGCCAAAGAAGTCACCAATTTTAGGATTGAGTTGAAGGGTAAGATAAAGGGATTGTACTCCACTATATCCCCTAAAAACTGGGATGTGGTGGTGTCAATCAGAGAGAACCAGACCCCAATGCCCACTCCCCCAGTGCACAATCATTTAAGCCTCCAGCTTCAGCACAGTGTACCATACACAAGTAGAACAATTCTCTAATGCCATGTATAATTTTCTTTTTGCTCAAGAAACCCTTGGTATGAGGTTTGGAGCTGCAGTGCACAGGCCACCACCAGGACAGAGCCTTCAGACAAACTCTCCATTATTCCTTGGGCTTCACCACATATTCCCGGAACATGGAATACAGCACACCTACAAGAGAGAAACAAAAGCACAGTTGGAGAGCTGGGTGAAACAGGAAACAACGGGGTTAAAAATCTGGACAGAAAGAGGTATTCTCAGCAGGAGAAATAATGTTTCCCTTCCTCTTCTGCTGCATTTTTCTAACAGCAGTGATGGCTACAAAGCTCTTCGTGTACAGAGAACCTGGCTGTGAAAATATACTGTGTATCAAAATGCTGATCCCAACCCAACTCTGGGTTTGCTTTGCAGCCAAAGTCAAGCCTTCCTGTTGTACCTCCTGGGAATACAGCAGGAGAAGCAGTGTCTGATGGGATACACAATATACACACGTACACAGCTGCAAGGCTTAGATGAGACCTGGGATGTACAAATCACTCAGGACATTCAGGGACACAATTCCAGTCCTGAAAATATATACATATATAGAGAGAAATATAGATACACATACTAGGTATGTAATATATATAATATCACAGGCCATACAAGCTAATTTTCCAATGCATTAAATTCAGAAACAGCAAGAGGGGAAAATACTCATGCCAGGTAAGTGGGTTTTTTCTTTGCCTCTAATTTCAGAAGCTACACAAGCTGATTTTCTAATGCATTAAATTCAGAAACAGCAACAGGGAAAAATATTAATGCCAGATAAGTGTTTTTTTTTTCTTTGCCTCTCATTTCCACATTTGCAGAACTTCACTTGCCACATCCAGAAGTATTCAAAACTCCTACTCTCAAGGTCAGTGCAGTTTAACATTCAATACTTGTACTTAAACATCAGATAACTCCAGAAGGGCTGAGCAAACACCAGGAACGAGCACAAACATCCTGAAATAAATGTTCTGGATACTCCCACCCCGAGGACATGTCACACACACTGTGTTATCCAAGAGGCTCTCTGTGGTTTGCCACTTCCCAGGACAGCTCCCATTCCATACGTACCACACGTTATGGCTCCCACGACGAAGCCCTGGGCTGCCACTCGCATGTGGATCAGGTGAAGTGACATTTTCATGTCACCTCTGTGCTTCAGCCTGTACAGCCCGTATCCAACCACAGCAGCAAATCCAGCCATCCCTGCAAGGCAAGGAGAGCATCCTGCTGAGGGGAGATCCAGGGCATCCGGAGGAGTGAGGGGACCCACCTAAACAAAATATCCTGGGAATCATAGAATCCTTTAGGTTGGAAGAGACCATTTTAATGTCATCGAGTCCAACTGTTCCCCAGCACAAGGACACCACTAAACCAAGTCCCCAAGTGCCACATCCACACGGCTTTTAAATGGCTTTTAAATCCCTCCACCACTGCCCCGGGCACCCCGTGCCAGCGCCTGACAAACCTTTTTGTGAAGAAATTTTTTCTAACATCTAGTCTAAACCTCCCCTGGCACAACTTGAGCCTCTCATCCTAAAATAAGCATGTTTCCCTCTGGTTTTGTGTGTGTAGCGGCAAGTACTGGCCCACTTCCTGTTTCCACTCCAGTGCTACCTCATTCAATGCACAAGTCAGTGCAGGGAAGAGCAAGAGATTTCCACCAGCATTAAAATGTCAAGAGAGCAGGTCAAAGTGTCAGAATTCCTTGGATATTTTTCAGACAGAGCTGGGGCTCCTTGCACCCCCTTTCCTGGATGGAAGCTCGCACCCAGCAATCCCACTCAGCTGCTACTGGACCCTCAGTGTGGGATGCTCCCTGATGTACCCCCCCGCCTGCTGAGGCTGCTATTTTGGGTGTTGTCACATTTGGCCAGGTGCCACCGGGACAGGACAAGTCACATGCTGCTGTCCCCAAGCTCTGAGGAGGGAGGCTCAGCAAGGGCCCTTTCCCAGGGACAGAGTTCACTGACAGTCCTTCAAGAGAGCAAACGGCGCCGGCTTTGCCAGCTCCAACCACTGCACCCCGATGCTCTCATAGAATGCACAAACTTCTCCAATTCCATCCATTTCATTCCATTTTTAGGACGATTATTTACACAGTTCAAAGGTGGCTGCTGAGTTTTAAGTGCTGTGTATATTTTACTCACAGGAGCACAAGCAGTTTGTCTCCCTGAGCCTGGAGTATTACCAGTTCCACTAGGAAGCCATAAGCCCTTAATTCACGTGGTACCTTCATTAAACACCAATTAAGAGTTTTAGGGCCTCCAACCCAGCTCTGACACAGATCAAAGGTGAGTTCTGCCAATCTGTTTCGGGGAACCTGACCTCATGGAGTTCACAGTACGCCTGAGCAAGGTGGAGACAAAGTCCTGTGACCTCAGGAACCAGTGACGGATATCTGCTGGCAAACACTTGGAACAGTTCACCCCAAGTGATCCAACTGCTCTCCATTTAAGGAGGCTGGAAATCAAAACGTGCCTGGTGTCAGAGGAAAGCTCTCAGGATGAACACGACCCATCCCTGCTCTCCTCAGCAGCTTCAGGGGCTCTCAGCACAGAGGCTGAGAACTCTACAAGCTCTTCAAGCTGGGGTAACATAAAAACTACTAAAAGAATGCATTTTAAACTAATGGGTAGCAGCAGAGGGCTGAAATGTTTAACAAACTGGCTGTAATTTAAATCCTTCTAGTTTGTATTTTGTTAGCTCTGAAGTCACTTTGTAGTGATCACATAATTCCCAGAACCCTGCACGACATTCCTTACCAGACAGCATCACTTAACCACATTTTCTAAGCTCACCTAAACATTTCAGGGTTTGTTGGTTTGGAGTTTTTTCTTTTAAGTCTTGAGTTTTTTATTTAAGGTGACAGACCTCATTAATTTCCCTCTTTCTTGCAGGACAAACACCACTCCAGGCAGAAGGATTACTGCTATCACCAAGCCTAAATGCGGAAGTAATTTCCCAGTAATTTCCTGCTCACAGGAGGAAGGTGTTGACACCACATCGATTGCCTGTGAAGAGAAAGGTCTGTGCAAACACATTTCCCCAGTCTGTGCAAACACATTTCCCCCATCTTTAAACTCACCAATGGGCACAAACGGCGTCTCCTTAAACTTCCTTATCAGCTTCGAGGTCTGGCTGCTGTCAGTCTCATACTCAGGATAAACAGATTCCTGCCTGGGTGACATGGTGGCTGTGAAGACAAAGAGCCTCCCTTCAGGTTTTAGAAGCCCCAAATTAAGAGAATCTTTGAGGAAAGAAAATCCGTTGCGTATTCCCCCAATCACAACTATCCAGGTAGTGAGATACAAGCACAGGAGCTATGGACAGGTGATTTAATTCAAGTGAAGGACTGTTACTTAACAGGAGAGGCAAGAATAGGACAGAACAAAAAAAAAAATAGGGAAGCAACAGATTTCTGCCACTCGTTTTCACACCTTTACAGATTCCTGTGGCCCCCCCCATGCTCACAGGCAGCGAGAAGCCACAGAAAGTTTGGGCCACTGCCCGCCTTTCCTTTTAGGAATTCCACTTGGCTTTCGCAGGCTGTTCCTTTATGGCAGCTCTGACCTCAGCAAAGTTCACATCTCCCCTCTCACTCCCTGCCAAGAACGGCAACCACAGGGAAGCGAGAGCCGCTGCACAAGGTCAGCCCTGCCCAGCAACTCCTCAGCTGCCTATTCCACCTCAGCGTAACTCCAGATTCCTGGAAAACACAGGGATGTACGACAGCCACCCCTGAGGAGCTGGAGCAAGTCTTGGAGCCCTCCCTAGGTGCAGACTCACGTAGGGACACATCAGGAGGAGAAATCATGCACAGGTGATTTCTCACCTGCCTCCCAGGAAAATAAAAAGCAGCGACAGCCCTGAGAAAGGCTCCACTCACAGAACCATCATCACCAAACCAGTGAGACCATCCTCCAAAAATTGCCAACTTTTTGTGCTGGGAATTACATGGATTACACCCAGACCTGTTCCCTCCTCAGTGGTCAGCATAAACACCATTCAATGAACGATGATTTCTGCCCAGCGACACCACAGAGGCCTCTGCTAGAAAAGTCTCCACTGTTACTGTTCCAGTTTTGACCACCAACACACTCCACAGCAAAACACAGCTCAGGGGAACATGGAAGGACTCCAAGCTCTCCGAATAAACTACCAGGAATTTCATTTAAGCAGGGGCCAGTAACTATCGGCAAAAGAGACATTTCAAAGGTGGCTGCACTCCCTGGTTATGCAGCATTTCCTGCACACCCATGTGAGCAGACTGACTGGTTCTCAAACTAAAGGCTCAGACCATTTCCTCTGCCAGGCCAAAGGATTTGATCTCTCTGTGCCTGCTACAACCACCCTGGTTTGCTAAATGAGAGTTATAATTTTAGCCTGACTCATTTGGAGAAGGAAACAGGAGCACTCGGTCACTGAGGAGAGGGGGAGACAGCCAGGGGTGGGATTTACACAAGAAAAGGGTATTGAAAATGAATCAATTCATCCACCCCGAGAGGTTTCCACGACCTTCAGCTCACACTGGGGTGGGCCCGGGGCAGAGGAAACTGCGTGAAACACACACCCTGACTGCCCTGACCTTGCCAACACCCAACAGTGAGGTCTGTGTGACAGGTGTCACCCACAGCGGGAGGAACACGGGTGGGAAGGTGACAGGATCGCTCTACGAGAGGTGTCACCGACGGAGGGAGGCACATGGGTGGGAAGGTGACAGGGCCCAGCATCCCTCCCGGCAAGGCGGCGGCCTTGGGCACCACCAGGCTGCCTTCCCCCTCTCCAGCCCACATGGAGACCCTTCCCCACTCCAGCCCCAGGTCCCCACACCCCACACGGGTACAGGGTCCCCCACTCCAGCCCCAGGCACCTCTATCCCACTCCGGGCCTCCGCCCTACTCCAGCTCCAACTCCCCACACCGGGACCCTGTTCCAGTCCAGCCCCAGGCCCCCGTCCAGCCCCACACAGGGACCGTTCCCCACGGCAGCCGCAGGTTCCCGGACCCCACGCGAGGACCCTTCCCCGCTCCAGCCCCAAGTCCCCTCATCCTGCTCCGTGCCCCTGCCCCTGGATGTACCTCAGATGTCCCGCCGCTGTCCCCGTTCCCCCCCCGGCCCTGTGCTTCCCCGCAGTCCCCGCACTCCCCGGTACCGGCCGCGTCTGCCGCGCCAGGCCCCGCCCCCGCTTCTTATAGGCCGGCCTGGCCCCGCCCCCCCGCCGGGACCACAACTCCCAGCGCTCCGCGCGGCCGCGCGCCCGCCGCCGGCCAATCAGTGTCGCGGCCGCCGCCACCTCTGCCTTATACGATCGGGGGGGCGGGGCCGTCCGTGACGTCACACGGGGAGCTCCGCAGTGCGGCGCGGTCGCGGGGGGGCGGGGCCGCCGGCAGGGGGCGCTGAGCGGCTCGGGGCGGCCCCTCAGGGCCCCGAGGGGGTGCGGGGGTGAGGGCGGGTACGGACGGGGATGGACGGGCCGCTCGGGTCGCTCGGGTCAGCCCGGAACGGGGGTTAGCCCGTCCTAAACAGGGGGGGAAAACAGCCAGTGGCGTCTTTGCAACTTGTCAGCTTGGCACACGAAAAACTTTGTCGGTGTTATAAAACCCTCACTGTGACATCGAGTCAGTACAAGCGCCTGGGGGGACAGGACAAGGGGGAATGGCTTCAAACTGCCAGGGAGCAGGGTTAGATGGGATATTGGGAGGGAATTCTTGGCTGTGAGGGTGGGGAAGCCCTGGCACAGGTTGCCCAGAGGAGCTGGGGCTGCCCTATCCCTGGAAGTGTCCAAGGCCAGGTTGGATGGGGCTTGGAGCAACCTGGGCTAGTGGAAGGTGTCCCTGCCAGTCCCAGGGTGGGACTGGGTGGGGTTTAAGATCACTTCCAACCCAAACCATCCTGGGATTCTGTGACATCAGGTGGAAGCTCTTCAGCACAGGGCAAAGTCAGAGCTCAATTTTCACAGAATCTGAGAATCCCAGGTTATATTTTGAGTTAGATCATCTCATTCCAACCCCCTGCCATGGGCAGGGACACCTTCCACTAGCCCAGGTTGCTCCAAGCCCTGTCCAACCTGGCCTTGGACACTTCCAGGGATGGGGTAGCCACAGCTTCTCTGCCTTTCCCTCCTGATTGTCTCATTATGTTTCCCAAATTTCAGCTTTCAAGCAGAGCTTGCCTTACACCTGCTGTATGCCAGACAGTGGATTTGGAAGCCCAGAGTTAATCCAGAAGCTGCTCCTGACTCAAAGCAAACCGTTCTCTGGAGCAGAAGGAAAAATCCACTGGGATCCTGGAGATGCCTAAAATCCTCCCCTAAACCTGAGGGCAGCTCATCAGGGCAAAACAGCAAGGAAAGTCCTTTTCTCCATAAGCCCAGTTTTGCAGTGTGGTGTTTGTGCCTCTCCATCTCCAAGCAGGGGGAAGCAGAGTCAGGGTCACCCCTCCACTCACAAGAGGCATTTTGGGCAGCATGAGAGAAAGTGGCTCAGACAACCATTTGTTCCATCTGCATCTCTCTGAATATGCTTCCCATTACCCCTAATCTTGTTACTTTAATTACCAAAGCCATTAGGGCTCTGCAGTCAAAGGAAACGAAAAAAAATTATGCAATTATCAGCCCTCAAATTGAGTTAAAATCTTGTAATAAATTACAGCAAAGACCACTTTCTCCAGTGACTCTCAGAGGCACATTTGACTCCCTGCTTCAGGGCAGAAACTCAATTAAAAACAAAAACTTATTTCATTTTCATTGCCGGGCTAATGAAACCTCTGTCGCTTGCAGCATCTCTCTGTGTATGTCCAGTGTCTGGGCTCTGTGAGTGGTTCTTGCTCCCTGCTGATGTCTATTTTGCACATATGTATTTATTATATAAATATATATATTATTATATGGTATATTTAACTGCAGCAGCTGATGGTGGCAAACATAAAAATGGGTAAAAATAATGTATTTCTCTCTGTCAATCCACTTAACAAGGGGCAGGTTGGATGCAAAGCTGTGGTCATCACTGCTGCTCCACCCTCCTACTTTTACCAGGGTGGTTTGGGGAGTATAAAACACACCAGGATTGGCACAGGGAAAGCCTTGGCACGGTCAGGGTGTTCCCATGGCCCTGCTTGGTGGTGAGATGAGGAAACAAGCAGGAAGGTGACCACTCACCAACAGTGATATTCTGAAACTTCTCCAATAAACCACTTTGACTGAGATGTCTTCTGTCAAGGTGTCAGAAACTTCTGTCAAAAACTTTTCAGTCAAAAAACTTTTCTGTCGAAACCTTCTCCAACAAACACCTTTGACAGAGGCCATTTCTACTCTTGCAGGGGTTGAGGATCCTGCTGCATCCAAAGAGCACATGAGTCAATCAGATTTCCTGGAAAACATGCAGATTTCTACAACAAGGTCTCAGCACGTGCTCAGGCAGGGTGGAGACTGTTTATCCACTGCTGTCATCCTTGACCAACACCAGGAAAGGCAAAAACAAAACCAGGGAGGATATATTTCCTGCCCACTTGCTCTGGCACAAGTGAAAGAGGTTCCTAAAAGCCTGATTCGAGCATTCAGCAGGATGGAAACAGGGGAAGAAACTCCTGTAAGTGCATTTTCTGCTTCTTGCTTGTAGACAAAGCTGTGCAGGAAACCTGGGGAGGTTCTCCTTTCTTTTTGAAAGGTGGCCAGTTTGGGATTGGGATTAGTTTCTGAGCTAAGTCCACATTGTGTTCACCAGTTCTCTGCTCTGAGCTACAGGATGGGGGTGTGAATGTCAGTGCCAGGCTGATAAGGAGGGAGAAAGATGTGGCAGAAGGAGAAAAGGCTGGAAGAGACCCAGAAATGTAAAATTTGGGAGTGGCTTGTCCTGATGTGGGCACAGAGGGTGTGAGGGGAAGGGTATTTTGGGTATTTCGGACTCTTGTTGGGTGTTACTTTGATCAGCACAATGGGCAGCTTTGGTTTCCTCTCAGTGAGGAATGTGGTAGAGTCACAGCTATATATGGCTGGGGTGAGTTTCTTCCAAAATATGATACAGGAAAGAAATTTTAAAAAGCTCATTCCCAAACAAATCCCAGCCAAACACTCTGCCGTGGCAGATCCCTGCTCTCCATCACTGCTCTGTCTGAAGTGCCCTGCAGCACTTGCCAAAGAGCTGCGAGACAGCAAGAAAACTTTTCAACACAGCTCAAATCACTTTTTATTTTCTTTTCAGCTGCCTGGAACTGCCTGGAATGGGTATTTAAGCAATTTTAGGCACGGGACCACAGCAGGTACGTCCAGAGCTTCACCCCTTACAGCTGCACATCCACAGGCATCCTCAGCACCCCACTCCGAGCTTTGGGAGCTTTCCTTAATCCATGTGGGGTGGAGGAGCTCCACTTTTCCAGGGTGTTTGTGGGGAGGGAACCATTCTTAGGAGTTGCAGAGCCACCATGGAATATGTCCTCCTTGGGAGGACAACCAGGGACCAACAGCTTCATTTTCTCATTACTCAGTGGCTCCAGGTCTCTTGGGAAATGGGACAAACAGGTCCTGGAGGAGAAACTGCAGGCATGGAGCTGCACAGCCAGGCCTGTTTGGGATTGCTGGAAAATGAACCCCAAGGAAAAAACAGGCAGCTTTGGCCGTGGCTGAAAAAATGTGTGGTTTAGAGGTGGAAGGGTATTTACACCACTTTTCCCCCGTGCCAAACTCTCAGAGTTTGGAGATTAGCCTTGATTTTTAAACTCCACATTACCCTTCATGGTACTGACAGGGGGTGGCTCAGGCAGATCCCCTTCCCACCGTGGCAGATGGGCTCTTCTTTTGAAACCCTGGTAATGTTCTTGTTCGCGTGGTGGGTTTTTCCTTCTGAAAATCAGAATCCAAAAGTAGGAAGCTGCAAATCACTAATCGTTTCCTGACATCTGGGCTGCAGCTGTCTAAACACTGAGGCCAGTCCTGGGGAGTGGCCGAGTGCAGGTCATGCCTTGGCTCATGCAGAATCGATTGCAACAACATTCTTCCAGCTAAATCTCTAACCTTGATTCAGGACTTGATTCTGGTGCCTACCTGTTCTTACCTTGGATGAGTCTTTGAGCAACCTCTTCTAATGGAAGGTGTCCCTGCCCAGGGGGTTGGAATGAGATGGTCTTTAAGGTCCCTTCCAACCCAAACCATTCTGGAATTCTCTGAATCTCTGATTCTGTATTTTCCACTTACTAATACTTTTTACAGGAATCCATGTCTTGGTGTCCTAGGGCTGACACAGAGAGTGGTCAGTGTCCCACCAGGAGCAGGGAGATGTTCAGAATTTCCCCTCTGAGAACAACCACACCGACACAAAGGTGCTGGTGGCAGGTTCTGCTTCACCAAGAACTGAGATGCCCCTTCCTCAGTAGTGACCCAGGTGAACATAAGCAGCTCACAGTGAGGTATACTGATGGATTTCCCGTAACTGAGAGCAGAAACTTCCTCAAAAGCTTGTCAGGATTAAGTAGTGGGTTATGTCAGTCAATGTGATCATTGACTTTCAAGTTTTATATTTCCAAGTAAGGAAAGCAAAATTTATTTTTTTTAATTTCTGTGTAGACAGTTGTCCCTACACTTAAACAAAGGCCAAGGAGTGTAGGACACAAAATACTTACCAGAAAGTGGTAGAAATTTAAACCTCTCAACTTCCAGTACCTGAAGAGACCCTACAAGAAAGACCAAGAGAGACTTTTTACAGGAGCACAGAGTGACAGGACAAAGGGGAATGGATTCAAACTAAAAGAGGGTAGGTTTAGATTGCATATTAGGAGGAAATTCTTTGCTGTGAGGGACTGGAACAGGTTACCCAGAAAGGCTGTGGCTGCCCCATCCCTGGAAGTGTCCAAGGCCAGGTTGGGTGGGGCTTGGAGCCACCTGGGCTAGTGGAAGGTGTCCCTGCCCATGGCAGGGGGTTGGGAATGAGATGATCTTTAAGGTCCCTTCCCATCCAAACCATCCTACGATTCTATGAACTAAAGGACAACCCTCCGTGATGTGGTCTTTGCTTCCTGTGTGGATTCAAACACTTTGATCCCCTTCCCTTGCCTTTTGCTCTTAGGCAGCCACTTGTCAAACACAACCTCAGCGGTGACAACAATCACAGCCCCCTGGCTGGCTGGTGCCAACTCCAGTGAGTACCCGTACGAGTACCTGGACGAGGAGGATTACGGGCAGTATGGGCTCTGCACCAAGGAGGAGGTGCTCTCCTTCAGCAAAGTGTTCCTGCCTTCGTTTTACACCGTGGTCTTCCTGCTGGGGATGGCCGGGAATGCCCTCCTGTTCATCGTCCTCATTATGTACATCAGGAAGAGGAAGAAGATGACTGAGGTGTATCTGCTGAACCTGGTGGTTTCAGACTTCTTCCTGCTGCTGACCCTTCCTTTCTGGGCTCTGTACGTTTCTCAGGGGGTCACCTGGGACATTTTGTGCCCGGTCTTAAATGCCATGTACACTCTGAACTTCTACAGTGGCATCTTTTTTGTGAGCTGCATGAGTCTGGACATGTATCTGCAGATAGTTTATGCTTGCTCTGCTCACAGCTCCACGTCATGGAGGAAGTCCATCCTTGGCTTGTTGGTGGTGTGGATCCTTTCCATACTTCTCTCCATTCCTGATGGCCTTTTCACCAGCACAAGGCAAATCCACAATAAAACCACCATGTGCACCCAGGATTATGGCCAGGACCACTTATTTTGGAAAGTTGTCTTTCAGGTCACTCAAAACATCCTGGGCTTCCTTTTGCCCTTCCTCTTCATGGTGTTCTGCTACTCCCGCATCGTCTGTGTCCTCAGCACGTCACAGCTGCCTGGCTCCAGGAGAGCTCTCTGCTTGGTCTTCACTCTGGTGGGTGTCTTCTTTGTCCTGTGGTCTCCCTACAACATTGTCCTCATCCTCCACTCCCTGCAGGATGTCGGTGTGATCAGGAGCTGTGAAAGCAGCAGGAAGCTGGACTATGCCATGCAGGTCACGGAGAGCTTGTCCTTTGTCCACTGCTGTCTCAACCCCTTGCTCTATGCTTTTGTGAAGAAACGATTCAGGTCCTACTTGTGGAAGATCCCTCAGGCCATTTTCAGGAGAAGTGGTTTCTTTCACATCCAGCCCTCAGAGACAAGCCCATCTTGCAGCAGATACGTGGCTGAGATAGAAATGTTGAGTGTCACAACTGTATCATAAATATTTACATTATTTACACTGTGTGTGTGCCCTCTGTGCTGCATTTGGTCCTGGCCATGGGATGGAGTTGGTGTGAGCCCACAACGCTTCGCAATCAGACAGTTCATCCAAGAACCACCCTCGAGATGAGGATTTTCCGTGTTGGGATTGGGAAAGTACTTGTGGGATTTGTTTCTGTTGATACAAAACTGGGAGGAGCTGTTGACTCCCTGGAAGGCAGGGAGGCCCTGCAGAGAGACCTCAAAAAATCAGAGGGCTGGACAATCATCAGCCATGGGAAGTTCAACAAGGGGAAGTGCTGGATCCTGCCCCTGGAATGGGGCAACCCTGGATGTATGGACAGACTGGGAATGAGAGGCTGGAAAGCAGTGCTGGGAAAGGGACCTGAAGGTCCAGGTTGGTGGCCAGTTGGCCATGAGTCAGCAGTGCCCTGGCAGCCAGGAGGGCCAACCCTGTCCTGGGGGGCATCAGGGAGGGGATTGTCCCACTCTGCTCTGCCCTGGGGCAGCCTCATCTGCAATATTGGGGCAGTTTGGGGGCACAGCAATATAAGGAAGGTATTGAGCCATTGGAGAGTGTCCAAAGGAGGCCACGAGGATGGGGAAGGGCCTTGATTTGAAGCTGTGTGAGGACACTGAGGGCACTTAATGTGTTCAGCTGGAGAAGAGGAGACTGAGGAGAGACCTCACTGCTGTTCCAACTTCCTGGGAAGGGGCAGAGGAGGGTTAGGCCCTGAGTTCTGCTCTGGGGGGACCAGGGACTGGACCCCAGGGAATGGCCTGGAGCTCTGTCAGGGCAGGATCAGGTTGGATGTCAGGAAAAGATCTTTGCCTCTGAGGGTGGTTGGGCACTGAACAAGCAGTGGGCACAGCACCAAGGCTGCCAGAGCTCCAGGAGGTTTTGGATGATCCTCTGGGGCACAGGGTGTGACTCCTGGGGATGGGCCTGTGCAGGGCTAAGAGTTGGACTCGGTGATCCTTGTGGGTCCCTTCCAACTCAGCATATTCTGTGATTCTGTGAAACATGCAGATGTTCTCTTCTATAGATTCCAAAGGGTCGGATGGAGGAGAGCAATCCCATTATCCTTCCAGTTCATGGTGTGGGCTGTGGAATAGCTTTTACACACTCATCCATCAATCCAGAAACCCAGGAACAGATTTGCCACACTCATCCACTAGGCCAGAAACCCAGCCAGGGGGTGGCTTTGCTTCTCCTGGCTCTTACCATCTGCCAGGTAGGTGGCAAGAGCCAGATGGTTCAATTGGGATCATCCCTTTGTCTACCAGGAGAGATAACAGGAGGAGCTGGGCACCTTTAAGCTGAGTTGTCTGCCCAGGGACAGTTTCCTCTGTTAGGATGAGCTGTGCCATCCTGCTGAGCAGGAAACTCTCCCCAAGAGATACATCCTTGGTTAGAGATCAGTTCAATCATAGGCTGATTTGAGACCAGTTTGATCAGAACAAAGTTGAAACCAATAACAGCCAGTGAGAAGGAGAAAACAAGTGGGCTCAGCAGAACAGTGATGGAGGAATTTGACTTCCACAGAGCCCCTTTGACAAGAGAAAAAAGATCCATGGATACTGTAACATAAATATTGGCTTCACAACACCACAGAGTGAGATCATGGGCTGAACAGAAGAGCACAGGGACCTGTTGGCCAATCCTTATTACCCAGTGTAGCTTTAAAGCTCAAGATTATGAGTTTGCTGACTTTTATTTAAATATATTGTTCACCCCAGATGCTCCTGAACCTTAAATGGTCCCTTTCCAGCCTGAAAATCTATTAAGCATTAGACTTGCCTAGAACTGTACAGAAAAAAAAAAGGAATTATTTAAAAGAAAACACTCATCACCATAGTTTTATTGCTAGACAAGGTTACAGGACTGAGAAGGGCTTGGAGTTGATCTGGAAAGATGGATTTGTTTTCACTGCTGTTATTTTTCTTCCCAACATTGCTACAGTGTGTTTCCAAAACGGTGAGGCTGGGAGCTTTCCTTAAAGAAACAAAGCCAGAATATGCATTTAGCTGATGCTGTGATGTGACCTTCACTCCACGGGTCGGGTCACTGGAGGGAACGTGGAAAGGGACAGCAGCTGGGAAGCAAGAAAGAAGATGAAGATTACGATCCCAGAGAGAGGAGAACTCTTGGGACAGCGGAAAACTTACGAGGGGATTCTCAGGGGAAGGGCAAAGGTGAGGGAAATAGCGAGGGGATAATGTCACTCTCTGTCCAATGTGAGGGCGCTGCGAGGTCCAGGCACCAGTGACTGGGACAGAGGTTGTGGTGACTGTGTGTGCAGATCAAGGTGGCAGCACTGGGAAAAAACTTCTAGGGCACTGTGCCTTGGAGAACATCAAAATGTTAGAGACCTTTCCTTCTCTTGTCTGTGGAGACCAAATTGGCTCGGCTGTAACCCCCTCCCTGAGCTTATTTCCAGTAGCATTTCCAACATCCCTTTGTTTCATTTTTTTCAGCCTGCAGTGCTTCTCCATAGCCTGGCCTTAAAGGCAGAAATCATGGAGTGGAATCCTCTGAACCTTTTTTTTTCCCCCAAAAAAACTGGGCTCCATGTCCCTAGAAAAGGAAATATGCTTAAACTGCTGCAGAGCCCAGGCCAAAATCTATCCCCCTTACACAGCATGGGTACTTCAACAGGATTACAACATCCCTCCCACCTCAGAAATCCAAGTTCAGACTGGAGTGCTCTGCGGGGGCAGGCAAACACCCGCTGCCAATGGGGACAGAGGTTGTCAGCTGTGCCTCTGCATATCAGCTGCTGGATGGGAATAGAAAGCACATTCCTGCCCCAACCTGTCCCTAGTCCCAGCTCCCAGACGGGCACAGAGCTCTCATGGGGCTGTGGGTGGTTCTCCTCTGTGCCTTGGTGTCATTGCTGCTTGGTGGCCTCTATGTCCTGGGGGTATTTCGGAGACAGAGACCAGATGAGCCGCCCCTGGACAAAGGCACCATTCCCTGGCTGGGCTACCTGCTGGATTTCAGGAAGGACAGTTCAGAGTTTCTAAAAAGGATGTGGAGGAAACACGGGGATGTTTTCACGGTGCTGATCGGTGGCTATTACTTCACCTTCGTGATGGACCCCTTCTGCTTTGGCAGCATCGTGAAGGAATCACGGTCTAAACTGGACTTTAGGGCTGCTGCAACTCAGCTGGTCCTGCAGGTTTTTGGCTACAAGCCCAACGAATCCAGCCACAACGTAGCCCGTGAATCGAGCGTGAAGCACCTGACGGGAGAGGGGCTCAGTGTCCTGACTCAAACCACCATGGAGAACTTCCAGAAGCTGATGCTTTTCAACCTGAGCCCAGGAGAGGAGAAGCGAGTGTGGCGGGAGGAGAACCTCTTCCACTACTGCTACAACATCGTCTTCAGAGCCGGGTACCTGGCTCTGTACGGCTCTGAGCCACACCAGGGGGCAGGAGACAAGGAGAAAGCTGAGGAGCGAGATCGTGTCCACTCCAACCAGCTGTTCCAGGAGTTTCGGAAGTACGACCGCCTCTTCCCTCGCCTGGCCTTCTCTCTGTTGCCTCACAAGGACAAAAGAGAAGCCGAACGGCTGAAGAGGCTCTTTTGGAGCGTGCTGTCTGTGAAGAAGGCCAGGCAGAAGGACAATATCAGTGGGTGGATCAGTGATCAGGACCAACTTCTGGCAGAAAACGGTGTCCCCGAGTACATGCGGGATCGTTTCATGTTTATGCTCCTCTGGGCATCCCAAGGCAACACGGGCCCAACAGCCTTCTGGCTCCTCCTGTACCTGCTGAAGCATCCAGAAGCTCTGAAGGCTGTGAGAGGTGAGGTAGACAAAGTCTTGAAGGAGAATGGGCAGCAAGTGAAGGCAGGGAGCCGTCCAGTTACCATCACTAGGGACATGTTGAACCAGGCTCCTCTTCTGGACAGTGCTCTGGAGGAGACCCTTAGGCTGGTGGCAGCCCCGCTGCTGGTCAGAGCTGTCCTGGAGGACATCAGCCTCAAGACAAGCAGTGGGACAGAGTACACCCTCCGCAAGGGAGACAGGGTGGCTCTGTTCCCTCACCTCGCCGTGCAGATGAACCCAGAAATTCACCACGAGCCTCACAAATTTAAGTACGACCGTTTCGTGAACCCAGATGGCACCAAGAGGGATTTCTACAAAAATGGGAAGAAGCTGAAATATGTCAACATGCCCTGGGGGGCAGGAGTATCCATCTGTCCCGGGCGGTTCTTCGCCAGCGCTGAAATGAAACTCTTTGTGTTTTTGATGCTGAGCCACTATGACCTGGAGCTGGTCAATGAGGAAGAGGAGATCCCAGGGATAGACATCAGCCGCTGGGGATTCGGGACCATGCAGCCCGTTCACGATGTTCGGTTCAGATACCGGCCACGCTTTTGATTTTGGGAAGCCCCTGTTGTGTTGTTTGTTTCGGTGTTACCTCTGAGCAAATTGTGTGATCCCGTGGTTATCAGCTCCTGATCTGATCTTGTTTGCTTAACATTTATCACGGCTTGTGTTTTTACCTCTGTCTCACGTGGTTGCTGCTCTGTGTCTCTGGTTACTGTGGTTTTGGGATATGTGATAAAAGAGAGACAAAATGTGCCCTCTGGGGCTATTCCCAGCCCCGTCCCTGTGGCCATCAGCCTGTTGAAAACCCAGAGGAGCACAGGGGCATATTGACAGGTGGGAACCCAAATTCAGGGCTTCCAAGGAACAAGTATTTTGTCCAGGGCTGTCCCAGCAGAGCTGTCAGCCCCGTGGTCCTGGCATGAGACCCCTGGAGATGTGGAGGAGGATTTCTGTCAAGGGAGGGCAGACATCCTATGGTGTGTAGGGGAAGAGGATTTTGGGATTACACAGGACTTAAAGTAGGATAGTTTGGGGAGGAACCAAAGGGGCATAAAGGATGGATTTAGGTGATTTGGGGAGGAAAACTGAGAGGTAAGGGGATAAAAGGGGCTGGTTGTGTATAAGCATGCCATACACTTCCCCCCCCCAATTTGTTTTAGTGTCTTATTAAATTCCTGTCCTTAAATTCAAAACCACAAGTCAAAGGAGCTGTGTGTCCATGGTGGCAGCACTGGCACTGGTGTGAGAGCAGTTGTACAAGCAAAGACCAGGCCAGATGAGCTGGAAAATAAGTGCCTTGGGAGCATGGGGATGAACTGCTGTGCACCAGCACTAGGACTGCGTTATTTTGTTATCAGCTCCTCACTGACACATTTATTTACTTCCACTTATAAAGTATCATTGGCAGGATGGCACCAGCTTGTAGTGAACTCCTGAAAGATCAGAGAGCAGCAAATATCCTTTCCAGAGACGTAAGAATTTCCTTGGAGTATTCAAATTGTCATGCCTGTGGTCCCCTTCTTGTATCTGATGAGATCCCCAAAGGGAGCAGAGGTGGGATGTGCTAAGCAAGGACATACCAACAGCTCCTTCCCATTTCATGTGTAAGAAAAGGTCAGATCTTGCCAATCACCTCATTTACCAGATCAGTGGGAGAAGAGCATTGTGAACATCACTCAGAACCTGCAATACCATTTTCATGTGCTTATGTGGCTTAGGAATGCAGGTGGTCACCTACCTTTCCAGGTCTGCAGGAGGCTGAGCATTCAAGGCATCCCCACTCTCCCAGTTTAGACCCCATCCTCTGCAAATACCCAAGGAGATTGTAAGGAAAGGGATGGAGTGATGGGAAGGGGCTCAAAAACCTAAGTGGGGCATGAGAAAACAACCTCAATCCCTTATGGGCTACAGCCACTGTGACCTTATAGACCTCAAACATCTGTTTTATCTCCTGGATCAATGCAAGATAAAAATTTGCCCCCTGCAAACTCTGCTTGGCTTTATTCCCTTTCAATAATTAGGGTAAATTATAAGTCCTTATAGGTGGTAAATCCCAGCCTTTCCTGTACAGAGAACAGTGGATTGACTTTAATGCTGACACTAACCTTGGACTTTGGAGATTATATATTATCAAGGAATGAAACTCAAACTATTTTCACAGATGTCCAAAGATCCTGCTTTGTTCTGCAAAGGGCAGGGGGATGTTGTAACTGCATGTTGAGGGCAAACTATCCCAGCCTGCCAGACTGGGCATTAGCCCAGACCTTGTGGTGTGGAAATTCAGGCAGAAACTATCAAGCAGCTTTGGCAGAACCAAGGAAAACCAAAACCACCTGTAACTGCACAAGGCTTGACTGTGACAGTTAATATTCCCATTATCAATTCCAGCACCTTTTCACAATTTTCATGTTGGCTCTCACCTCTTTTTTTTGTCACCCCTGGGCTCATTGTTTGGCTCTGCTACCAAGAATTAAATTTGAGCTCTTCCTGAGTTCTGGTCAATTCAAGCTCCAAACCTTACCCTGGAATGCCTTAGGATAGCTGGAGAGCTCTGAGACATCATCACATCCTGGCCAAGTGATGTCCTCACTCCAAGGCTTTAGGAAAAGGATTTTTTATGTGGATGGTTTGCATGGAGCTTGTTCCCTGCTGACACACAGTGCACATTGGTTATCACTTGTAGGGACCCCAGGTCAGAGTGAGGGTGAAAGACTGAGCTTGGGAAAGGGATATAAAAATAATGACAGTCATTCAGCAGAAAAATCTGGCTTTACTTGCTTGTCAGAATGGTTTATTTAACCAAACAGTATTGAGTCTATAAAAGACTTCAGACATGCTCAAATGCATGCAGTTGTGAGAAGCAAAAAAAAAAAGTCATATATGGAAGAGTGTGAAAGCTCCAAGTGAGTTAATCTGCAATTAAATTTTATGCTTGGGTGGCTTCTCCCCTGGCACTGAGCTTTCCATCCCAAAGTGCAACAGCAAGAGTAAAAAACCAGCCTGTGCCAACAAAAACCTGACTGGATTTGTAAGAGAAGTTAAATTGGAAGGAATCCAGGAATAAATTTGAAAAGTTTACTGGGGGGCAGCTCTCATTGCAGTGTCTGTCTCGTGTAACTCTTCTATCCCCTGAGAGAGCTGAGTGTGGAGCCTGTCCCTAAACCCCTGGTTTTCTCTCCTGTAGAGCTTAATGAAGACAATATTCCTTCAACATTCAAAGTTTTACAATCTGCTGAGTCGGTGCCTGCTCTCGACAGCACAGGGAAAACGTTCCAGGTCACAGCTCCTGCTCTGCACACTGAGCAAGGGAAGGAGTCACAACCTGCATCCTTCAGGTTTGGAACAACAGGGGTTAAACATGTTGGGAAAGGCCATCCCTGGTTAAACAGCCTCAACTCCAGTATGAAACTGCAATGCATCAGGAACTGTTTTCTGTGTTCCTTCCTCTAAACACAGACAGATACAGCTCTGAGAAAGCCTCCACTTGATGCTGCTTGTGTGGAAAATCAAAGGAAGTCAGTGGCACCCACAGATACATCAATCACTGCAGAGAAACTCGGAGGAGCACTGAGGTTATGAGTACAAAGCCACGACACAGCCAACACCACCCATTGCAGAGGAAAGCAGGGTTGGAAGGAGAAACAACGTGAAATGTCAGGATTTTTTTAAAGAATTAAAACATGGAGCCTTTGGCACATCTCTGGGTAGAAGGGCCTGTGCACTCCCCAGGGAAGAGCAGCCTGGCTTCAAAGTGCCAAAGGACAACACGTGCCTGTTACAAGGCCGTGGTCACTGGTGCATTTGCTGCCTTCACTGTCTGCTGGCCCAGTTACCCAACAAGTCACAGAATACGCAGGAACAGCCTGTGGCAGGCAGGACACACCAGCACAAACACAGGGAGCAGTGACCCCAGCTCAGCTGATGGACACCAGCTTGGCAGGACGGTTTGATACCAAACACTGAGTGCAGAAGGGACAGAGAGGCAGTTCCTGCCTGTCCCATCCACGTCACTGTGCTATCATGAGGCCGTACTTGGAGCACAGCAGGCCCCTCTTCTTTTCCCTTTCCATGAGGAAATTCCTCAGTTTGGTGGTGGGGAAGGTAACCAGTGCTTGCTGCCTGCTGTCCAAACCTGTCTCCTGGAGCCACGGGCTCTGAAGGCACTCGGAGGCTGACGGCCTTCCCCTGGAACAGGAAAGGTGAGGAGGTCAGTCAGGGAGCCCTGCTGGGTGAGGAGGCTCCTTGCACATGGAGAGAAAGGAGGGCCAATAGCCAGGATCTGCCCCAGCTGTGCAGCTGGGAGAGCAGACAGCACCTTACCAGGGGTTTGCACACAGAGTGCTCTGGAGGAAGGACACAGCCCCCCCGGACAGACCCGCGTAGCACCGCGTGAGCTTCACTTTGCCCTTCCTGGTGGTTCTCAGGAACTCACAGGGGACGTCGGAGCTGACGGGGTAGTTGGCACTCAACCTGCCCCAAAAGAAGAGAATTAATCAGAGTGAAGCTGCCTCCAGCTCTGGAGTCTCCAGCATAAGAAGGGTGTGGACTTGTTGGAGCGAGTCCAGAGGAGGCCCCGGAGATGCTGGAGCCCCTCCGTTCTGGAGCCAGGCTGGGAGAGCTGGGGGGGTTCACCTGGAGAAGAGAAGGATCCAGGGAGACCCGAGATCCCCTTCCAGTGTCTAAAGGGGCTCCAAGAGAGCTGGAGAGGGACTTAGGACAAGGGCCCAGAGTGACAGGACAAGGGGGAACAGTTTTAAACTACAATAAAGGAGCTTTAGATTAGATATTAGGAAGAAATTCTTTACTATAGGGGTGCTGAGGCCCTGGCACAGGTTGCCCAGAGAAGCCATGGCTGCCCCATCCCTGAAGTGTTTGAGATCAGGTTGGATTGGGCTTGGAGCAACCTGGTATAGCGGCCCATGGCAGGGAATTTGGAACTGGGTGATCTTTAAGGTCCCTTCTAAACCAAACCATTCTAGGATTCTCTGACTCTTATAAGGGCATCACTCAGGATGCTCCTTCTCCCAGTAACTCCCATTCAGCAGTGAGAGGAGGGTCATGACAATGCACAGAAACATCATACAGGAAATAAAAATCTCAAAGGCCACTGTTCTTCAATGAGTTTCATGACTTTGGCTGCTTTTCCACTTGGTATCATTTGGATTTTTTTGGTAAAGTTGGGGCTTTTCCGACAAGAGAAAAACACCAGCAGCTGCTGTGTTGTAAAACAGCCTCCTTCCTCTGCAGGGAGACATCACTGGGACTGGGCATCCTCATGTTGTGCAGCCAACTCCATCCCTTCCATCCCATAGCCAACTCCATCCCTTCCATCCCACAGCCAGCTCCATCCCTTCCATCCCACAGCCAGCTCCATCCCCTCTGTCCTACAGCCAGCTCCATCCCTTCTATCCCACAGCCAACTTCATCCCTTCTATCCCACAGCCAACTGCATCTCCTCCAACACACAGCCAGCTCCATCCCCTCTATCCCACACCCAGCTCCATCCCCTCTATCCCACACCCAGCTCCATCCCTTCCATCCCACACCCAGCTCCATCCCCTCCATCCCACACCCAGCTCCATCCCCTCCATCCCACACCCAGCTCCATCCCCTCCATCCCACACCCAGCTCCATCCCCTCCATCCCACACCCAGCTCCATCCCCTCCATCCCACAGCCTTCCTTGGCATTGCCAAGGAGGGTTGGCACAACTGATGTCAATTCTCTGAGTCAATGCATCTTCCCTGACTGGTGACTCAGGAATTGTGGTTTTAAGGCTGTTCACAGGGCAGGGAAGGACAGCCTGACTTACATGATGAAGGCTGTGATTCCGATGGACCAAATATCAGTCTGTGGGAGGGCTCCTTGCTCTGTCAGCAGTTCTGGAGCTGGAAAAGCAAACTGGTGTGAGCCCAGCTCTGCTCCAACGCACTGAGAGCAGCACAAAGGCAGTGGGTACTTTTGCTGCCTTCCCAAGAGTGAAGAAGAAGCAGCTCCCGGGACAGGGAGCTGGTTGAGGTAAGACACCTTTGTAGATGCTGTTTGCAGTGAAACCTTGAGGACCTCAGGCCAGGTGGCAGCAGTGCTTGATCCCTGAGCTCTGGACCCCTGGATGCCCACTGGAGTGGTGTGACTGAACTCTGTACTCACCCATGGTTTCGACATAGTCCATGCACTTGTCCATGGTAATGACTTTGTCTTGTGTGTAGAACTGTGCGTTCCCAAAATCCAGGATTTTCAGCAGGTTGGGCTCGGTGATGATCATGTTCTCAGACCTGAGATCCAGGTGCAGGATGTTGTGGGCATGGAGGTACTCAGTGGCACTGAGGATCTGCCACAGGTAGTCCCGGACCTCCACTTCGGAGTACGATGTCCTGGTGGGAGAAAGGACAGCTCTGTTTTCTATTCCCTATCTCCATGCCCAAGAATGCTTTTCTACACCCCTGGATGTTTAATCCCATCAGGCCCTTGAGAGTCAAGAGGAAACAACTCTTCATTTAGCAAATCTGTTGTGTATGGGGAGGCCAACCCATTCTGTGAGTCAAATTTACAGATGCAAGAAGCTCAGGAGGTCGTAGAGCTGCGTGTCAGAGAAAGCAGCGGGTTGGGCAGAAATCAAAATGCAGATTTGATGCCCATCATTGCCCCTCTTTTAACCACAGGCTTTCATCAGATCCATTTTCTGACATTCTGAGAAACAATGTGGAGGAGAAACAAGATTTTCTGAGTAACCTCCATGTTGTGGGAGATGGGATTTCATATCAACTACTGTAAACTGCTTTCAGTGTCTCAACTGGGCAGCCCTGAATTGTCCCAACCTTATAGGGAACTAAAGTAATTTTTGAATCTCTCAAGAGGCTGCAGAACAAATCCCATGTGCAATGACAGCACACTGGAATTGATGGAGAGGGATGATCCAGTTTGTCAGGAGAAAGCAATAGGTGTTTTCCAGCCCTGAGTGGAAAACCCTTCCATGTTCTTACCGTAGTGCCAAGGAGTGGAGCAGCTCTGGTCCCACACACACCTCCTGGATCAACACCAAGTGCCGTGGGCTGACATAGGCTCCCTTCAGCTGGGCTATGTTTGTGTGGTGGAGCTTCCTCAGGACCTGGTACTCCAGGAGCACAGTCTGCTTGTCCTCTTGCCAGTAAGGGATGATTTTTGCAGCCAAAGTCTTGCCACTCACTTTCTCCCTGCACTGTCGGACGATGCTGAATCGCCCCCTGGTACAAAGGAACACAAAGGGACATTAAACTTCTCTGCTGCTCCTGGAAGAGCCAGGAACTGCTGTTCTTTAAAAGCACCAGGATCCCATGCTGTGTTTTTTGTCCACACCTGATGGGGTGTTATTGAATCCATTCTCACAGTTTGCACATCCTCCTGTGTCTCTAAACTGTACAGTCACTTTAAATTACAGGAGTGAGAGCTTAACTCCTTTGGAGAGAGAGAAGGAGAGAGCAAGAGAACTACTCCCTGTTGGCAACAGAAGTCAGTGCCTCTCTTCTAGGCAGAAAAAGTTGCATCCTAACCCCCTGACCAAAACTGGTACCTGCAAAGGCTGATGCAGCAAGGACAGGAAACTCTGTTAGCCCTGGGCTCACTTCACGAGATATCAAGTGACTGCCCTGCTGCCCAGTCGTGATAGGACAAGGAGTGATGGTTTTAAACTAAGAGAGCTGATTTAGACAGGATATAAGGATGAATTTTTATACAATGAGGGTATAAAACATTGGCACTGGTTGCTCAGAAAGGTACCGGATGCCTCATCCCCGGAAATGTTCAAAGTCACGTTGGATGGGGCTCTGAGCAAGTTGACCTGGTTGAAAATGTCCCTGCTCGTTGCAAGGGGGTTGGACTAGATGACCTTCAAAGGTCCCTTCCAACCCAGACCATTCTATGAATCTACAACTCTTTTGCTCTCCCAAAAAATGCACAACTAAATCCTACCAAACCAAGGTGAAGATCACTCAGCCAACAGTTTGTGTGTATCACTGTGGAGGGGTTTTCAGCAACCCACTGTGACACTTGCTGAGCTGCACATTTATAAATGTGACTTTTCTAAACTCCAGCCACATAGAATCATAAAATCATAGAAACACAGAATCCTAGCATGGTTTGGGTTGGAAGGGACCTTAAGGATCATCTTGTTCCACCCCCTGCCATGGGCAGGGACACCTTCCACTATGCCAGGTTGCTCCAAGCCCTGTCCAACCTGGCCTTGAGCACTTCCAGGGATGGGGCAGCCACAGCCTTTCTGGGCAACCTGTTCCAGGGCCTCACCACCCTCATAGTAAATAATTTATTCCTAATCTCTAATCTAACACTGCTGTCTCAGCCTGAAGCCATTCCCCCTTGTTATATCACTGCATGGTCTTGTAAAAAGTCCCTCTCCATCTTTCTTGTAGCTCCCTTCAGGTCCTGGAAGGCCTCAATTAGCTCATCCCAAAGACTCCTCTTTTCCAGGCTGAACAATCCCAATTCTCTCAGCCTTTCCTCATAGGAGAGGTGCTCCATCACACGTAGGATTTCCCTCTGGATCACAGAGAACTCAGCTGGATTCTCTACCTTTTGATCTCTGTTTGGAAGGCGTAGGTCTGGTAGGTTGGGAAGGGCTCAGATGGTGTGATTACTTCACTCTCTTCCTCAGTGGCAGGTGCTGGGATTTCCTGTGTTGCAGCACGAAGCTCTGCAGAGAAAAAGGGACAGGGATTACATGGGAAAACAGCTCTGTGTGGAAAATGGGGCCTTTCTGAAGCTCCACTGTCTATGAACAACAGCAAAGGCGACAGCAGAGATTTCTCCAGGTGACTCTGCAGCCTGAATCCCAGCTGTGGCACCCAGTGCTGTTGGAATGCAACTGATCCTGCTCTTTCCACCCAAAAATTCCCTGGTGTGGCCAATCCAGGCAGCATGAGGTGGACTGTATATTGTGAGCTTGATATATCAAACATCTGAGCCACTGGTTCACATCTCCTCACACAACGAGTCACCAGGTCACAGCAAGACACTGACAGAGAACCAGAAACTTCTTTGGGGTGGATATTTCAGGGCAGTAGCTGAAACTTTTTGCTCTAGTTCTGGTGTGTTGTTGTGTCCAAGTGCTCCCTGAAACACTAAATCATCTCTTTAAAGCATCTGCTTGGAAATGCTGGACACATTGAGATACATTGATGGATCCTGGACCAAGGGAAAGCAGAGGATTTAAGGTGAGTTAAAAATATCTCTGTGAACTGATTTTTACAGAGCAATCCTCTCCACTGGGAGGAAATTCCAGTTAGACCATCCTTCTATTTCTTGGCAGAAAGGATGCTTTGCTACAAGGATATGTTTGCTGTGGGGTTACGGATTTCTTAATTTTAAAAACATGTGAGTTGTACAATGCAGTCAAACAAGTGAAAAAAAAAATAGTAAATTGGGCTTTCTTTACTTCAGAGACAAAATACAGCTGGAAAATTCATCACAGAAGGACAATAATTCCCAAAGGAAAACACCGGAATAGAGACATTAACTACTGAATTTAGGATTTAGTCCATAATATAGAGCAGGTCCAGGGCTTTCACCAGAGGCGGATCTATATCAAGAGATAAATGCCTCCAGTCACACATTTATGGTCCAAGATCCATTTCTTCATCATCTCTGATCAAACCTGAGTGTGTCTTCAACAGGTAATCTTCAGTTCCCAGGTTTTTATTTTATTATTAAATTTTACATATATTTACATACTGTTTCTATTTACACAATGTTATTCTCTTATTGGGTTTTTGGATATATTTATACATATTCCCCTGAGTCCAGAATTAGTAAATAATGTAATTTTAGACAGAAAAACCCTAAATCACCCTGAGCCAAGTGGAACTGGCCTTGGTTCACTTGCTCTTGACTTCTGGGCCCACATCTAAAAGGGTGCAGTGGTTTTGATGCAGGAAGATCCCGATGGTTTCTCGGGATTTGATCTTACCCATTGGATCCTTCCCGGTGATTTTCACGCTGGCAGATGGGTCGCTGTAGGGGCCCATTCCTGCTTTGCTGGTGCAGGCAATCCTGAAGTGGTAGATAAACCCCTTGGGCAGATTTTTGGCATAGTAGCAGCAGTCAGCGAGGTCAGAAGCCAGAGTTGTCCACTCCCCATCTTAACCAAGGAAAGAGAGAAAAGACACCGGGACTCAATTATGATGATCTCACTGGGTTGTAGCTTTTTTGAGGTTTTGGGGTTTATTGTTTTTTTTTTTTTTTCCACCAGCTTTACTTATGTGCTGGGAATATGAAGAAAAAAAGGCCCATTCCAATCCCTTAACTTTGTGTGATTCTCTGAATCTTGTAGAATGAAAGAAAAACCAACTTGCTATGGCCAACTTTTGTGCGTGGTGACACTCACTGTCCCTGTGTTACTCTCCTCTGAAATCAGCTGGTTTATATCTGACAAGTCCAAGTTGTGCCAATATTCTGTCAGAGAAATGGGGAAACTTTCCTGTGTTCTTTCTGTTTATCTAATTCCTGCACCAATCTCTAATGCAAATATCCACCAAGAACTCCAAACAGAACCCCCAGCTAAATCACTGACCTGTTTTTCCTTTTGGCCCTGTCCTGAATCCAGTTGAGACCATGAGGATTCCTGGACAGAACTATCCACTAACACTCTCCAAGCAAAACCAGTGTTTGAAATGTAGGCAGTTTTACTCAGCTTTTATGAAACTCGGATGATTTCTCAAGGAACTGAAATTGCAGATATGTTCTGGACTCATAATTTATGGGACTAAGGTGGGAAGGAGAAAATCACCAGCAAACATTTAATGACCTTTCATTTCACATGTTGCTGTGTCTCATGTTTTGCTGCTGTGCTCAAGGCTGAACTCAACTCCTTTCTACTGCCTGAGATTAAACCCATCCTTTCACTCAAATAAACACTTCTGGAGGCCTCAAACCTTTAAATAAGCAGTAATTCACTGCCCAAACTGAAAGTATTGATGACTTTGCAGGGTACTGGCTGAATTTAAGGATGTGTTTGTATAAGAAGGAGCAGATACAGCTTAGAAATAGAGAAAAGTGTCTGCAGAAGCAGCTGGTAAAAGCCTGTTGTCAAGTCATGGATAAAACAAGGAATTTTTTACCTTAATCCTCCTGTGTTCAGAAACTTTTCATGTTCCTGCTAAATACACAGAATGCAATGGAAGATTATAGATGCCGTTTCCTGTTTTTTTCCTAATTGGAACAACCTGTGTTTCTATCCTCCACAGAGTGTGTCCTATTGTCGTGTCAAAAAGGAATAACAAAAAGAAAGTGGCGTAGGAGAAAAAGTGACTCACACCAGCTCCAGAGGGAAAAGGCTGAAAACTGCCTGTGCCCGTGCTAATCCAGAAGGGAGTGTTTGTATATTCGGGGAATTAGATGAGGGAACATGGAGCAGCTGAATCCAAAGGGCTGTGTTTGTGTGACTGCAGAAGGCACTGCTGTCAGACATCACATTCGTAGTAACAACAGCAAAGCAGTCCCAGGAGAGATGGAATAGGCTTGGGGATTTGGTTCAAAGCTTTTGTGACTGAACAGGAAAACATCCGCTTTTGACAAGGGCACATAGTGACAGAAGGAGGGGGAATGGCTTTAAACTGTAAGAGGGGAGATTTAGATCAGATGTCAGGAAGAAATTCTTCTCTGTGAGGGTGGTGAGGCCCTGGCACAGGTTGCCCAGAGAAGCTGTGGCTGCCCTTGGATCCCTGAAGTGTCCAAGGCCAGGTTGGAGAGGGCTTGGAGCAACCTGGGCTAGTGGGAGGTGTCCCTGCCCATGGCAACGGGTTGAAACTGGATGGTCTTTAAGGTCCTTTCCAACCCAAACCTTTTTATAATTCCATGATTCTATGATTCACTGACTTCCTTAAGCTGTGGACCAAACCCTTGCAAGAGAACATCAAAGGGGTGATGCAGTATTGCCAAAATGTGGGTATTTATTCTGGCTGTTTGCCCTGAGCTTCCTCCGTAATCAATGGGAAAAGAAAGCCTGGCTGTTTAGCAGAGGATGAACTCTCTTTTTGACAGATCACCTTCCTCCACAACAGACTGTCCAGAAAGCCTGGATATAAGATGATGTTGTTTGCTGGGCATTATTAGTGTATCCTTTTGCCAAATTACTCAAGGCTGTGTATCAGGCACCAACCAGGCATTTTCTTCTGTAGCTGCTCACTTTTGGGTCATAACTTTCGTGTCACCTAGTTTGAGTCACACTTCAGCAAAGCCTTGGTATGAGGATGCATATTTTCCAGGCTGATTTATTTAGCACAACACTTAACTTTCAGATGGCTGAATGATGGCTGTACGGATTTCATTCCTAACTCAAAACTAGGGAGTTAATCAGGCTGTTTCTGAATAAAAGTAAAATATCCAGAAGGTGAAGGGATCACACAAACCAAGATGTTCCCTTTGAGGTGTAAGGACAGCACTTTACCTTGACTCTTGCATTGGATGGTGTAATGGACAGGGGTGTTGGTCTCCACAGGTTTCCAGACCACCTGCACTCCATCCTTGTAGACTTCCACCATGTCAGGGGGTGGAGGGCTGGGAGGAACCTCTGTTGAGAGGAGGCACAAAACCCAAGGACTGTTAAGAGCAGCACTGCTGTGAATCAAAACCCTACACCCAGCATGTCTCGGGTATATATATATTTTTATATATATATTTATATATATATGTATATGTTTTATATGTATATATAGGCACACACCTAGAGAAACAGCAATTTAACCCAACCTAAATTTAAACTCAGTATTAAAGTTTTGTCTTGGAGGGCTCTGAATCCAGAAGAGTGAAGAAGAGGGAATGAACCCTGCAATATGTGCCACACTACCAGACAGCAAAGGCTGTGGACAACAGCAAGGGAGAGATTGTCCTCTGCACCTCTCTGCAGAAATCTCACCTCAAAGGTATTTACAGGTCACATTTTGGGGCAGAATTATTTATAACACCTGTTTCTGTAGCTGCTTCTCCTCTTACCTGCTTTTCTTATGACACAAGAGGTGGATGCCGAGCCCAGGGAGTTTGTGGCCACACAGGTGTAAATACCAAAATCCTCAGGATTAACAGAGAGAATAGTTAAGAGCTGGAAGTGTTTGAGGGTGGATGAGATGAGGATCCGGCTGCTGCTCTGGATAGGGATCCCATCTGAAAAGCAGAAGGTAGGAGAGATAAACACCCCGAAAGTTGATACCAAGGTGTCTAAACCCCTCCCTGCACCCCTGTCCCAGAGGTCAGGGACTCCCTGGAGGGATGCCAGTGTCACCTCTGAACCAGTTGATGTGCAGGGAGGAGTGAGCTGCCGTCCGGCACGACAGCGTCACGCACTGTCCCACGGCAGCAGCCTGGTCCATGAGCTCCTCAGTGAAGGAGGGGGCTGCAGGGAAGAGGAAAAAACATCAATTCAGAATAGCCAGGAGAGTTCTGTGGAAAACAAATGCATGCAGGACGTCAGAAAACCTTTCTAATTGTTCAAGAACATTTCTGGTTCTTGCTCTGTCAGTCTTTTGACCGCCAGTTGGAGAACCCCCTGGGCATTGAGCACAGGTGCAGGAGCCCCAGGGACACAGTGTGACTGCTCATACATGATCACCCAGATGGATCTTGGGAAGTCCATAGGGAATACATTGCCCAGCCCTGCTGGTACAGCTGAGGCAGCAGAACAACTCAGAGCAGAGAGAGATCATGTCACAGCAAGAGTGTTCCCCCAGCCGAGCCAAAATGTGGGGGCAAAACTGGAGGAAATGGCCTCCAGTTGCAGCAGGGGAGGGTTAGATTGGATATTAGGGAAACTATCTTCATGGAAAGGGTCATCATGGATTGGAACAGGCTGCCCAGGGCAGTGGTGGAGTCACCACCCCTGGAAGGATTTAAAAGACATGTGTTTGTGGCACTTGGGGACAGGGTTTACTGGTGGCCTTGGCAGCGCTGGGGAATGGTTGGACTCGATGATCTTAGAGGTCTTTGCCAACCTAAATGATACCATGATCAAGACAACGTAAGAAGAGAGAAGCAGAGATGAAAGATGGATATGAAAGGAGGAAAAACCCCACAGAGCATCAAATCTGCTCCTGCCTCCATGGCAAAGGGGGAGCTCAGGTTTTCTTCTGTGCTTCTCCGGGGTTTTTTTCTCCCCAGTTGCCAGGAGCTGCCAGCCTCTCACACCTGCCCTTCCCAGTGTTTTCCTGGGCTCTGCTGAGTACTGGGACGTTAGTCTGACCTTGGGAAATGCTCCTGACAGAGTCAAGGGGAAACTTGTCTAGGAAAAAGCAAATTCAGCTTCACTGATGCACCATGTGGGGCTGCCCCGTTATTTTTCATTCCGTAGCTCTGTAGCAGCATGTCTGGACTTAACACATCCATTCAGGACTGGAGCATAGGAATTCATAGTTCCCTGCCTCTGCCTTCCCACCCATGGATACTCCTTTTATTCTCTTTCTATCTTACACCTGGATTTTATTCCTTTGCAGTGGCTTCCTGGAGTGGCTCCAATTTGCAAACAACGCCATGACAGGTTTTATCAAGGTCCTAGTTATGATGTAAACAGAGGAGACTGGCCCATGTTACATGAGTTGGTCCAGGTCATCTCTCCAGACAATCACTGCAGATCCATCCTTAGAAACTGGCCTCACACAGCACTGGGATTTTCATTACTGATACTTCATGCTAAAACAAACCACTGGCTTTGTGGCACCACAGTGCCACAGCAATACCTTTCTCCTTTGGCATGAGGCTTGGCAACTTGAATGAGGAGAGTGCTGATTTCCTCTTCAGAGATCCTTCAGCCCCTGTTAACAGCTCTTTCTCTGCTGCCTCACTTCCCAGCTCACCAAACTCTGTTTTGAGAAAGGATGAGAAGTCATTCAAGGCCACCCTTCTCCCCGCGGCATCAATTTACAGTGACAGCTCCACCATTCACACATAAACAGCTCATCACTCACAGGTTCCCTTATTAACCAGCCTTCAGTCAGCAGGGAAGGCTGTGACAGCTGTGACAAACACAACAGTGTCCTGGAAGAACAGGGAATATCTAGGGATGGCAGAGAAGAAAGGACAGATCCTGATGTCCAATAGGACTTCTATAGCTGACTTCACCAGCTTCTCCCAGTCACTTTATTTTTTTGAGATTTGCCATGGTCAGATGATAACTGCAGCAAGGAAAACATCACCCAGGTCTGCTTTTGTGCAACCTCAGACAGGAGAATTTGAGCCCCTTCCATCAGTGGATTAACCCATCTGCCTCTGCACTGGGGTAACCCAGTAACAGAGGGGTAGTGCTGGAGCTGGAAACTGCTGATTTCATAACCTGCCATGGCCAGTTTTACAATCTCAGTCTAACCACAGCCTCAGATAAAAGGAAAAGGCAGCTTTATCAGAGCCCAGTTATAGCAGAAAATCTATAAAGGAGCAGAGTGAAATACTTACCTTCCTCTGCCTCTGGCTCAGGAGATGTCTTTCCTTTTAGGATTCTTGAAATATGGGCAACAGAAGCTTTTACTTTCTTCTTCAGACTCTGCTCCACTGACAGCTCCACTGAATGAGACCTTGCATATGGCTTAAAGAGTCCTGGCTTGGTGTGGAAGGAGCTTTTCTGCTTCCCACCGGAGTCCTTTTGGGAGCCGTACATTTCTTTATGGCTCTCTGGCCCTTTCCCCATGGCCACTAAGTGAGTTGCCTTTGAATCCTCAGATATTTCCAAATGGTTCTTCCTGTTCTTGTCCTCTGCCTGCTCCCTGATGCACAGCCTTTTATCCTTATGCAGATGCCCTGCAGGAGGAGACCTTGCCCTTTCACCGAGAGGAATAAACCGTCTACGAACTGGCTTGGGCGAAGGCTTCTTGTAGCTCAGAAATTCAAACGGAAAATAGACAATGTCATACAAGTCAGAGAAGTTCAAGTAGGCAGGTTCCACCTCTGAGATGTCAAATTTTTGAGGGCCGCTGCCAGTACTGGGGGTTTCATCTGACAGGTCTTTGATTTTCACCAAAGACACTTCTGGGTGTTTCCCGGTGTCCTTGATCACTGACACTCGGCTGGGTCTTTTCCCAGTGTCCAAGCTCTCTGTTGAGGAAACGCTGGCTCGGCTGGAAGTGGGGCTCTCAAACGCCAAGTCCTCCAGGTGTTCACGTTCGTGAGGAACTGTCTGTGCTCCCTGCCCTTCCAGTACCTCTGACTCCTCACTCACAGCAAGGTAGGGTTCTTCAAGGCCATCCTGCTCATCTTCCCTCTGTTTTACAGAAGGGGAGGAGGTGTCCATGTGCTTTCTGCTCTCCTTCTCTCCAGAAACTGACTCTGCCCAAACATTCATCTCTTCAGAGAGGGAAACCATCTCGTCCACTAAGCCCTCCAGCACAGCAGACTCCTCATCACTGTAAAAGGAAGACCTGTGATGTGATCGCTCCTGACGGCGATCCCTGCGGAGCGACGGTGGGACAGCTTTTCCAGCGTCAGATCTTCCACTTTCTAAGGCAACGCCTCCACCCTCACCATGGACCTTTGGATGTTCCTCATATTCTACTTCATAGGCTGAAGCTAGAGCACCTTCTGGTTGTGCAGCAGTTAAGGCACCCCCCAGACCATCAGAAATCCCAGCACTGGGACCGGCAGCCCTCTGCTGCTCCAACTCCCGATGTCCAGCCTTGGGGAAAGGAGCAGACGTGGTCTGTGCAGTTGCTGGGCTTCCACCTGCTGTCACAGCAGATCTCACCTCGCTGTGAAGGGATGGATGTTCCTGTTTTTCCCTCTCACAGACCGAAGGGAGAACAGTGCTTTGGGAGGACACTGTTCCTGCTGTGTGTCTGCTCCCTGGAACAGCATGGCCTTCAGAAACCTTCTGGGGTTTGGCTCCTTCATGGACCAAGCTGGGAACAACCTCTGTGACCGCAGAGCTTTCGCTCCTCAGAGCAACAAACCTCTCCTTGCTGTGAGCTGGCCCTTCCCTTTCAGCCTGTGCTCCACCGGAGACCGGAGTCGGCACTGATTGTGGTGGTGGGACTTTGGGAACAGCAAGGTGCTCTCCTTTCAGGCTGGCTGATGCTGTGAATCCATGAGCAGGAGCCTTACTGTGAGCCTGGCTTTCACCAGCATGGGCTGATAGTGGAGTGACTCCTGTCACACCCAGCCCTTCCTCCTCCAGGACAGCAGAACTCACCTCTTCGTGGGTCTTCACCTTCTGAGGAGCCCCTTCACCAGCTGTGAGGGCACCTGGCCGCTTGCCCAGAGAGACAGGAGCTGCTGGAACACTTTTCCCAGGAAGTTCCCGACTTTTGTCTTTGCGTACTGGAAGTGAATCGGTCTCTGTCTGTTCTGCTGGAACAGCAGAGCTTTCATGCTCCATGAGTTCAGACTCGGCAACACCGTGAGCAGAGGTCTTTTCACCTGAGTGTTTCTGCCTTTTGTCCTTCCAAGGTGGAACTGGGGCTGTCCTTTTGATCAGCAACATTCCACCTTTTTGATCCTGGTGGATGTCAGCGCTGTGAGCAGACTCCTGGGGCAGACACACACCTCCCTTACTTGTGGGAGATGACTCAGAGGTGGCCTCTGACTGTGTCAAGGTTGGAATGGACTCTTTGCTCTCCTGAAAAGCAGTGTCAGAGGAAGATTTACCCTCCATGCTCTCATGTTTTTGGGCTGCTGATGCAGTTATGTCTGAGCACTGGGCAGTCAGAACGGGGCTTTTGCCTTCCAACTCTTCAACATCCTCCTCAATCTCAGTAGCTTTTGACTTCTTCAGTAAAGGTTTCCTATTTTCACTCCTGTGAGGTGACACTGGAAGTCCCTCAGCCTGTTGCATAAAAGCAGCTGGGCACTCATTACCCTCACAATGTGTGGAAGGAGGGGGCTTCTCTCCTGGACAATCCTTGCTGGCTCTCCTGACTTCCTCCTGCTTTGATGTGTCTACAGAACATCCCTTGCCAGGCCCTGCAGAAATGTCACAGTGGTCACTGCCTTCAGGGCAGCTCTCCTGGGACAAGACATCACAGTCTTCTTCCAAAATGTCTTGTTCCCTCAGTGACCTCGAGGCTCTCAGCCTGTAGTCGTCCAGGGAACGGCTCCTGCTGGTACCAGCAATGGCAGGATGTGGTGGTTTCCTGGCAGTGTCAAACGACGCTGATTTGGTCAAGGATCCCAGCAGGCTTTCCCTGCGATCATCTCCTTCCTCTTCCTCTTCCAGTTCAAACTGTTCCAGGAGGGGCTCACGGAGACCACTGAGGGGCACCTTCGAATATCCACCTTTCCGGAAAGTCCTCCTGGCTCTGTCCAGGTGCCTCCTGAACTCCCTGCCTGGCGAGGAAGGCAGCCTTGCAGGGAGCTCTGTTGCTTGGCTGTAGAAAGTGCTTTTGATGACACTCTGCCTGGGCACAAAGGCAGATGGCTTTTCTGTGCCATCCCCAGCCTTTTCAATCCTCTCCTTATCAGCTAAAGACATGTCTGGTTTTCCTTTCTGACCTGGATGTGATGTGCTTTCCATGGAAGCCCCCACAGATGAAGGCTCAGCAGCACCACTCCTTTGGGGTTGCTCCGCTCTTTCATCTCGAACACTGGGATGGAGCCTCTCTTCCTTCTCCTGGAAGACACTCGCCATGAGCATTTTGCTTTCTGTGGGTGATTTGTCCCCCACCTCAGCCTTCATGGAAGCATATTTCCTCCTCATGGGTTTTACTGGAGGGACTGGTGCCTTGGAGTGCTTCTGCTCACTTGAACGTTTTGGAGGCTCCTGATAACTTGGTGCTTCAAATACGGGCAAGTGCAGCTCGGGGGTGGAACCAAAATGCCTCTTCTTGGGGAAATTCGAGTTCTCGTTGTCTGAAGAGGAGCCACTGGTACTGGATGAAGTGCTTTCCTCGATGAGGTGTCGGGAGATGGCCAGGGAGGTGTTGTCGTGGGTCCTTTCCAGGATTTCTGGGATAGACCTCATTACCAGGATGGATTTGTAGCACATCAGAGACCGCTGGGGAGCCAAACAAAATGCAGCACAGTGAGATGGAGACATGGTGGGAGGATGGCAAAGCAAACATACCCAAATGAAATCCTGAACTCTTAATTACCTCACCCACGAGTTTAATTACACACTGCCAACCCTTTGTACACGTCACCAATCCGGGTCTCATTTGCTCTCTAAATCTTCCTCTTCCCTCATTGACAGACATGAAACTAAACTGACTTCAGGGGACATACTTGCTGTTGTGAACAGGGAAGTAGGACCCTGCTTGAGATTTCCAAAGTCAATCTGGCCACTCAAAGCAGATGGAAAGGCGCTTTTAATGGAAAACATCAGAAGAAAGACTTGCTGGAATCAATGGCCTTAAATCCATTGATTGCAGTTCAACCTACGGTGACTCAGGTCAACAGAAGACCTACCACAGTGCAGGAGGTGGGATTCCTCTGCTCTAAATTCTGCCATGTGAGACATCTCAGTTGAAATTGGGCAGCTGCCCTCCCCTTCCAACCAGCAGGGAGAAATTGGCTTCTTCAGAAGGCAATCAATCCCATCATTTTAGAGAACCTCTGGAAAAGAGGTATTTTTGGAGACCTGTCTATAATTCAGCAAAGGCAGCTGAGGGCACCTCACTTAGACACAACCTTGTGTCTTACAGGCACCTGCATGAGACCAAGTGTTTCCCAGGCAGTAAAAGTCTAGGATAATTAATTCCTGACACATCCCTCAGCTGCAGCCTCCTGGGCTTATTCCCCATTCACAGCCAAGCTGAGATCTCTGCTGAGCTCGCTGTCCAAGCCCAAAAGACTTTCAAAGATTCAAATGTAAATAAAAATATATATAACAAAAATATAGATTATATAGATTATTATAGTTTATTGTATATTATATATTAATATATAATATATAGTATATATTAATATAATATGCAATACAATATGATTATATATTATATATTACATATTATATGTTAGATAATATATAATATAAATAACCTATAATATATATTATTATATAGTATAAAGATTATATTGATTATTATATAGATTATATAACAAAAATATAGATTAAGGGCAACTCACCTGCCACTTGCTCCGAGCCACGATGAATTTGAGCTGCTTGGTATTAATGAAATGAGCTGCTTCGAGGGGGACATTGTGCTGACAGGTGGAATGAGAGGAAAATCATTGGTTCAAAAAAAACTGACTTCATTTCCTAATAAATCTCTAGGATTCCCTCCTTCCAGAGTTGTTTAATTTAGGAAAGCTACAGTAGACCAAATGCTACACTCCCTTCATAGTTAAATTGCAGACAAAATCAGTGATAAAAGTAAGCCTTGTTCAATACATGCCATTAAATCCTTTTTTTATTGCTAATTTTTAGCTCTTCCCCTTAGTGATTTAAGGCATTGCAATATACAAACTATAACTTTGTCCTGCAAAGCCACAGGTTCCTTCCTATATTGATGTGTGGAGGAAACAGCCTGAAGCTGAACCAGGGGAGGTTCAGTTTGGACATTAGGGAAAATTTCTTCCTGGAAAGGGTAGTCAAGGATTGGAACAGTCTGCCCAGGGCAGGATGGTGGAATCACCGTCCCTGGAAGGATTTAAAAGATGTGGCACTTGGGGATATGGTTTAGTGGTGGCCTTGGCAGTGCTGGGTTAATGGTTGGACTCCATGACCTTAGAGGGGTTTTCCAACCTAAATGATTCCTTGTTGTATCTGCTCACGTCAGTAGTAAATCTTTATCCTTTGAAAGGAAAGGTATCCTGGCATGTAAACCCCTTTCTGAGGAGCCATTCCTGAGCTCCTCTGTGGCACAGAAAGTAAGAGACCATGGGAAAAAAATAAACCAGCAAACATCCAGCAGCTTTTGGGGCCGCCCCTGCCAAGGTCTCTTCCAACCTCGTTATTGTAATGACTAATAAAGGACCAGGACAAACTTACCATGAACCACTTGTGGGACAGACAGTCCAAAGCACTAGGCCTGGCTCTGGTAAGAGAACAGATGGGCATTTTAGTTGGAAGTCACTTCCAAAGCAACCACAAGATCTTCCTGAAGGTCCTGCTGCTGATGGACACAGGTGTACGCTTTGGTGTGTGTCCTCAGGCTGCTGGTTTAGAGCTGAGAAGCCAACAAGCTTTGAGCCCAAGGTTTCCTTCCCTTGAGGTGAAATAATCCTCCTTTTTTCTTTCCCAGATTCCCCACAGACCCCCAGGAAGACCCTGTGACACTCTGTGTGGAGCCTGTTCAAGAGTGTCCAGAGCAGACCTAAGAGGGACTTTGCCTCTTTAGGTGGCCAGAGACAAAATAGCTTTGGCAGAAGGCAGAAAGAATAGAAATGAAATTAAAAAGCAAGGGCCTGCAAACCTGCCTTCAAGCCTCCTTTTGTACCTGAAATTGCTTAATGAATATGGTTAATGGTATTTAATTCTCTCATAACTCCCTCTACACGAGTCCTTGCTCTTCCCACTTGTCTATGTTGCTCCAGAAATTCACCTGCCTGGAGGGGGCAGGGAGTCACCATCACCACCCCAACGTGGCAAATATCCAAACTGTGGTTTGGGTAATGGGGAATAACGAGCTAAAATTAGGGCAGAACATCTCGAAACATCAGCTTGCTACTTTTCTAGAGAACAACAGCTCTGACCAGCCGAGATGTGCCTGCTGAGACACCAACACCCCTGCACGGGGCTGCAGGAAGCAGAGGAGGACACTCACTTGGGGTTCAGTTAAGGAAGGAAGCACAGGAGGACACTCACTTGGGGTTCTGCTGCAGGATCCCTTTCATGAAGTCCTTTGCATCTTCACTCAAGTGAACGACGTCAGGAATGGTCCATGAAATTTCCCCGCTCTGGATGTTCAGGAGGGTTTTCCTGTCGTTCTCCCCAGCAAACGGAGACTTGCACGTGAGGCTTATTTATTGGACACCACAAAATAAAAGCAGACAGATTTTAGACTTTGATTTGCTGTTCAAATGACAGAAGCACAAGTGCCCTCCTGGGGTTTTAAGATATTTGAGGGACTCCGTGTGTGGGACTTGCTTGTGAGCAAGGTGTTCACTAACAAGTCATCTTTCACCCCAGCATTTCATGGCACTTGACTGAATCATTATTTATTTGGGATAATAGTAAGATAAGGAATTAAGGCACAGTTACAGTGGGGTGTTGGCTAAAACAGGGAAGGGGGGGACTGAACCTCATCCACTGCTCCCACTGTGAACTACAAGGAATGCAGCTCTCAGGGACAACAACCAAAGCCTTGGGAGCCCAGGAAAGGAGGAAAACACAAAATAAATTGTCCTTATCATAGAGAGACTCAATGCTCCACTCAAATCCCCCACCTGAAGGCACTGGAGGGCTCTGATGGACAAAGGATTATTAAATGAGTCATTAAAAGAAGATTTGTTTACCTTAAATACGTGATGACTCCAACAGCCCTGAGGAGAAAGGGAGCACAAATGTCAGGTGTTTGTCACTATTTATCCATCCTTCTCAAGCACACAGCCCCTCTTCCTGCCACTAGACACCCCCTTCTCCTCACCTTTCCAAGGAAAACAAATCCCAAAAGTTTTTTTCACCCTTCAGGTTTTTTTTCCCCCTTCAATATTTTTTAAAATTGTTCTCGAGCCATCTTCCAATTTTAAAGCACAGATAAAGGAAAGGGCTCATAATACTTTTTTTTGTTTTGGAGTTTGTTTGCCTTTTCTAGAAAGCTCTTTAGGATCATTCTCTCTTGTTGCTGCCTCTAATAGAGATCATCTCCTTTAAGATGCTCCTTTGCATCAGTGAGCTGTCAGAGTTCAATTATGACTGAAAAAAAAAATAAACAGAAGGAGCTTTAAAGGGCCCTGATGGCTTTTGGATTCTCAGAGTTCACTTCCAGTTTCCTGTGTAATTATCACTGCTCCATTTACTTATTAACAGTAAATGGATATTCAGGTCATCAAGGGCCTGAAAAAGCTTTTTAGGAAGATGAGAGATGAGCAGATATTACCAGATATCAGTTGCTTTTGACACCGGTGACAGAGAAACAATTTCTGGGGCAACAAACTCCGGAGAGCCGTATTTGCTGTACTGAGGCTCAAAGGGGGTGATCTTCTGAGCAAACCCAAAGTCACAGATCTTCAGGTCTTCCCTCTCGGGGTAAACCATGAGGATATTCAGTGGCTATAAAATAAAATAAAATAAAATAAAATAATAAAATAAAATAAAACAAAATAAAATAAAACAAAACAAAACAAAATAAAATAAAACAAAACAAAATAAAACAAAATAAAATAAAATAAAACAAAATAAAATAAAACAAAATAAAACAAAACAAAATAAAACAAAATAAAATAAAACAAAATAAAACAAAATAAAAAAATAAAATAAAACAAAATAAAATAATAAAATGAAATAATAAAATAAAAGGAGAAATTTTACTTTAAAGTAGGCTATATTTTCTGTTTTAAGTAAGAAAATAATTGAATAATAACTAAATAATTCAAACATAGAATACCTATTCCCTGATAAAGAAGAGGTTGTGAAAAGCCTGTCATTGCACATTACCTTGATGTCCAAGTGAAGGATGTTGTTGTCGTGAAGATATTTGAGTCCTTCCAAAAGTTGCCTGATATACAGTTTGACCTAAGAATTAAATTAATTATTAAAAAATTATTAAACAGTAATAGTACATAGGAGGGTCCCTGATTCCACCAATATTTGTAGTATATGAGAGAGGGAGAAATTGAACCAGAAGTACTTTTAAAGCTAGAATTATCTTCTTTTATTATTCTTGCAGTTGGAATTAGATGTGAACCAAACATCACCCTGTGGAATGAAGCTGTGCCTCGTGTGTGACCCCTTTGCCCTGCTGGAACCTTCTGTATGTGAAAAAGTCCCTACTTTTTTTTAAAAAAACAAAAAACAAAAAACCAAACCAAAACAATCCTACAAAGATGCAAATTAGAAGAAATAAAAGAGACAAAAATCCTCAAGTTCGACAAACTTTATCAACTGTCGTGACACAAACTCAGCTCTGGCTTGGTTTAAATCAGGCAAACACAAATTTTTAAAACACAAATACATCTTAAAACTATGTTGTAAACCTATTTGTTGACCACATGCAGATCCAATCAGACTATGACTGTGAACATTTATATCTAGATTTACATCCAGATTCAGCTCTGGAAGTCCTTTACCTTTGACATTTTATAGTGTCAGTTGACGTGTGATTCTTAAAGATCCCTCCCAGCCCAAACCATTCTATGATGTTTCCCTCTGAGAATTCTACGAAAAATCAATTTTCCCCATAAACGTGGGACACCTGGCTACCAGATGGGAGATATGAAACATTTTGAACTTTGAGCACCAAGGATCTAAAAAAAAACCCAAAAAACCTTTTAGAAACCATAATTTCATCCCTTTGTTTTGGGGACTTAAAGGGAGTGGATAGAATTCAGTTACAAGGGGATAAATTGGTATTAAGCAAGCGAAGATACAGGAGCTCCAGCTGACATATAGCAAAGAAATGATAATACTAAAGCAAATATAATAATATTTTTTAGGCTGAATGCAATCCTGGTGGTCAAAACCACTGCCTGTTTCTAGTTACTCTCCAGAGAAACTCAACTTAGCAATGCAAGTTGTTGGGAACACATTTGAAGAGCTGATTGTGTTTTGACAGGTTGCCACTGGTTTCAAAGACATTCCTCATAAGGAAAGACATTCCTCCACAAGGAAAATGCAGGTGGAACCAACTCTGGGCTCTCAAGTGAGGAAGAGGAATTACCTCAGCTTCGGTGACCACACTCTTCTTGAACAAACGGTCCAGGAGCTCTTCGCTGGAGCATCTGACAAGGGCATTAAGGGAGAGCAGAACTGAAGGTAAAAGCTCATTTTTGCAGCAGAATTCACCAGGTGGTCTCAGGCAATGTGATGATCATTAAAATCTCCATTGCTGTGCCCTTCTGGCAGAGTTGGGTTGCTCTAAACCCGTGCTCCTACAAGCAGGAGCTAAAATCTTCAGGTGGGTAGATTTTGGTATTGCTTGTGCTAAAATCTACCTGTTGGCTACTGGGTTTTCTGGTCTGCACTGCCTTTTCCTGGTGCTCACTCAGACTGGATCTCATGGAAAAAAAAAGAGTCCTTAACTTCCAGACATTTCAGAATAGAGTTTTGATGCTTAATAACCCATTCACACTTGGATAGACAAGTATGATTTTACTCAACAGTACTGCAGTGAAGCTCCCACAGAGCTCTGCCTGCAGTGCAGAGAAGGGCTGTGCGTGTCCTTTTATCTCAGGCAAAACCAAAAAATTGTTAATTTGTAAGTTTTTTTGATAAACAGGCTCTACCCAGTACTTCCCCAGCCTCCTCAGACAAGCTGCACAGAAAAAGGATACAACTCCAGAACCAAAATCAGTGTTTTCCTTGTTTCAAACTCATCCAGGAGCCGGGTAATTCTGTCGTGGGACAGAGAGGCGAGAATGTCCCTCTCCTGGTGGGCTCGAGACTTGGTTTTGCTTCGCAGAGGGATGAACTTGGCAGCACAGGACACTCTGTTCCCTTTGTGCACAACCCGTTTCACGAAGCTGAAGCAGCCCCTGTGCAGGAATCGAAGGACACAAGCCCTGCTCAGACATGGTTTAAAGAGCAGCAGGCAGAGAGTGTTCCACATCCTGGCCTTTGACAGCTCCCCACTGCCCAGTGCTTAAATCCTCCGGCACGAAAAGCTCGTTTTCCTGTCTGTGAGGTGCTGTTGCCCTCTCCTGGCTGCCTCAAAAGCGAAGCAAGGTGTCCACATAACGAGAAAAGCTGTTTCAGGTGATGCAGGTGCTGACAAAGGCTGATACCTGCACTTATGGACTCTCCCATCCTCTGTCAGAAACCACAGGAAAGCATTCCCAGCACACCTGCAATGGGGTGACCTCCCACTTTTCCACTTTTCCACAGCTGGGTCCCCTCTGCCTCAGCAGGTTGGAAGGGCAATTAGATATTCCCTGGCAGTGATGCTCTAGAGCTGGAAAATTCATTTACCTTCCAATTTCCTGCTTCACTTCATAATGGGCGTGGAGCTTTCTCCTGGTGGCCACTTTCTTTCCTTCTTGGTCTTTCTTAGCTTTGGAAATGAAGGAAAATATAAAGGTTAATATTCAGACAGCAATGCCTTGCTAATAGTGTGCAGAATAATCACAGGACAATCTAAAGCAGGAAAATGACAGAGATTCTCTGAACTTCTGAAGAGAATTAAGTGGAGCTACTTGATAACAGAACCTGTCAGTGTGAACTCTGGGGTTGCCCAGAGAAGCTGTGGCTGTCCCATCCCTGGAAGTGTTCAAGGCCAGGTTGGACAGGGGTTGGAGCAACCTGGGAACGTGAAAGGTGTCCCTGCCCATGGGACTGGGTTGAATGAGGTGGTCTTTAAGGCCCCTTCCAACCCAAACCATTCCAGGATTCTGTGATTTGCTTTTATACTGGATCTTGCTGTATTTAGCAATACATAAATGCACACAGGAATAGAGAGCTGATACCATACAGGTACCAGAGCACGACAACACCAGATTACATGTTGCCATGGCTATGGAAGCAACTCCTGCACCTGAGGGAGTGGCATTACCTTCACGTACAACGAGCTCTGCTTTGCACAAAACCTCCCCTCCTGCATTTTTGGCAACACAGGTATAAACACCACCATCTTCCACGGCAGCATCGTCCACCGCTAAGAAATACGTTGTCCCTTCCTTCCCCTGGTGGACTCTGTCACTGTCTGTCAGCAATGAAGTGCCCTGAAAGAAGGAAATGACATTTTAGCACTGGAAAAACCAAGATGGAAACAGATGTTTTCGCTCTTCCAGAGACAAGCTACGGGAGCAGAGCTACAAGACAGACTGCTGAGGTCAGCAAATCTCCCCAGCAAAGTGCTGGCTGAAGACTCCTCCATGTCCCAGTGTTCCCATTTATAGGAATACAGGCTTGGGAGGGATCACCAGTGCCATGTGGTTGACTGTTCAGCTCTCCCAGCACACCATTCCTGAGCAGTCAGCCCAGGGAACACAAGGATTGGCTACTTTGCTCCTGCCTGGTCTCCAGCTTGTGCTGGCACTTGTGGTGTTTGTGAGATAAGGAGCAGCTGAGGGAGCTGGGGGGCTCAGCCTGGAGAAAAGGAGGCTCGGGGGGACCTTCTCACTCTGTACAACTCCCTGACAGAAGGGAGGAGCCAGGTGGGGGTCAGGCTCTGCTCCCAGGGAACGAGGGACAGGACAAGAGGACATGGCATCAAGTTGTTCCAGGGGACGTTCAGGTTGGACATCAGGAGGAATTTCTCCACAGAAAGGGTGATTAAGCACTGGAACAGACTACCCAGGGAGGTGGTGGAGTCCCCATCCCTGGAGCTGTCCAAGAAAGGATTGGATGTGGCACTCACTGCTCTGGTTTAGTTGACATGGTGGTGTTTGGTCAAAGGTTGGACTTGATGTTCATGGAGGTCTTTTCCAACCTTAAAGATTCTGTGATTCTATATATTCCTAAATGCTATGAAGAAAGGGACAGGAGGGAGTGTGTGTGACACAGAGGGCAGATTGTGAGCATTTGCAAAAGGTTCCTATGGCAGTAAAATGCAAAATAAATATAAATAATAAAATATATACATATATGTATATAATACAATATAGGTGAAGTGAACCCTATTCCTACACATAAAATGTCAGTCTCAGAGCTGTTCCTTTTTATAGTGGAGCAAATTTTAACTTAGAGCAAATCACTCCACAGCAGCACCAGCTCAGTGCTTGGTGGGAGCCAAAAAGTATCAGATGTTAGAATTATTAGGGAAGGAATAAAGAATAAGACACAAAGCATCATTTAATAAATCCATGGCTTGCCCATGGTTTGGTACTGTTGCAGCAATGTCCTCTGTAACCCTTTCCAGATGAGGATTGACAGAGCAAGTTGGGGCTTCTTTTAGCAATATGACAAGATATGGCAGCAATATTCTATAGAATGATAAATAATTTCTGTTTTCTATCTATGGGATATTCATTGTCCTTGGTCACACTCACTTTAACAATTAGTTGCAGAAAAGATACAGAGCCTGGAAGTCACATTGACAGTTGGAATAAACCACTCTTAATGCCATCCCCAGCCCCAAACAACAGCACACGTGTCAGTGACTCTCAGGCAGGAACCAGTTTCCTTTCCTGCTCATCTTGGTCTCCAAAACCATCTGGGTTGCCCTGTCTGAAAAAGGATCCCCAGTGACACTGGAGACAACACAGGGTGAGACACAGGGATGGTGGTTCCAGTGAGAGCAGCTGGTTCCACAAACCCTACAGACATGATCCACAATCAGTTTAAGATATGTGGCATGAAAGAGCAGAAGACATTCCCTGTGGAAGTCCAGCACTAGAGTCCCTTCTGTGGTCCTCACTGTCAGCCAAAATCTGCACTCACCTTAAACCACAGCACGGTGGGTGGAGGGGTTCCCTCGATGACTGCCTGAAATTTGGCACGTTCCCCAGAGTTCACCTGCACATCCTCTATTGTCACTTGCATGTAGGGAGGACCTGGGGGGACACAAGGGTTTGCTCCATGCACAGTGCCATAACTTCGTCCCCAGTGTGCTGATGTAGGTGGAGTTACTCAAATGGTGTTTATAGGATGGGCCATTTAGGGTACAACAGCTTAGTGTCAAATCAAGAGGTACCACAGCAATATATTTGGGTTTCTTTATACTGGCATTACTTTTAGGCTTCTTATCTTCAGGGTTACCTATTATTTTTTTGTTTAATCAAGTTACCACTTAAAAAAAATTGGAATTGTTTAAAAAAAGCAGTCATGGGGACTTGATACCAAAAGAGAAGACAGTGGCAATTGTGGAATGTGGGAGAGGGAAACAGGGTGTGCTCTTACTTGCTGGGGTCTTCTCCTCAGTCTTATACACACGAGTTCTTTCCGTGGTCTCAATATAAACTTCACTGTGCACATCCCAGACCACGTCTCCTTCTCTCCTGTACCAGCCTCCTGCCCCTGCCTCTGGTGAGGTTCTGCCATGAAGCCCAAGAGAAAAGATCAAGACATTGTCACATACAGTGACAAGAGATGCAGGATTTCCCCTGCCATGGACCTGTTTAACCAGCAGACGAAGAGTTATTTACTTAAAATTAACACGAGAGGAACTTTGGTTTGGGGGAATGAATTTCTCTCCAACCTCTTCTACCCTTCTTTGACAAAGCACGTGCCACCAGGATTCTAAAAATTATGGCAAACCTACAAGAATCTGTTCAAGTCACCACCTGGTTCCTCCACAACAGAGAACTTGATTTTCTTGCAGCAGAGTCTGCCCCACTCAGAAATCCCTATGTGTTATATCAATCTATTGGGATGGCATTTACCTGTCGATGGGAACGGTGCGTTCCCGAGCGCTTCCGTCTCCAGCAGCTGCGTCTTCCTGGGAAGGACCAGGGCTGGGCTTTGGCACACTTGGTTCTTCAGCTGAAACCTGCCTCTGTGCTTTGTCTGGCAGCAGAAACAGGGCAAGTTAAACATGTCACCTATGACAGCACACCTGAAACCCAGAGCAAGCCTCTGGGGCCTTCTCTAGTCTGCCTGGAGTTGGAAACAAGTCCAGCTGAGTCCAGCTGAGTGCAGTCACTGAAGCTCAGAGGAGATTTTGGCCCTTTTGCAAAGATCACATGAAGCAAAGGGGTTGAACATCAGAGAGACCGAATGGAGGCACGTTTCTGACTGGGAAATACTAACTTTTCTGTAAGGAAGCACACACGGACAAGAGATGGGAAAGGCAGTCTGTAGGGACAGGGAGAAACAGGACAACTGGAAGGATACTGTGGGTTCATCCATCCTTTATAGGAGATAATTTATCTGTGTTGGAGTTCCAGCTCATGGCTGTGATGAAATCATAGAATCACAGAACTGTTTAGGTTGGAAAAGACCTTTTAGGTCATCGAGTCCAACCATTAACCCAGCACTGCCAAGGCCAGCACTAAACCATGTCCCCAGGTGCCACATCTACACATCTTTTAAATATATCCAGGGAAACCCAACATTAGCTTTGTACACATGAATGTTTCAATTAAACCTTGTTAGGAGAACAGCTCTTGGCTCACTGCTGTGATCACAGACAGCATCAGTGACATGATTAAACTCACATCAATGTAAAAGGGGTGGTCAAAGCAGGTCCTGGGTGGGGATATGATTAATCTGGAGAAAATATGGAGGTACGTTCTTACAGAGAACCATGTGATATTTTAACATCAGCATTGCTACACCTCCACTGGGTTGTTGGAAAATGTCTTCATAGGGCTCTAAGTTACACCAGAACAAGGTTTGGCATCTGGGGCTTATAGGAACAAAGAAGCAAAAATTTGGTGCAGCTTGATGGCAGTTCGGGTATTTTTCAACTTTTTTAATTAATTATTTTATGAGACATATCTTTAAAACCTGTTTTGATCTTCCATTCCAAAAGTACCCGACTGTCTTCTGATATTTGAATTACACCATAGGATAAAGGGCATTGTCTTCTTTTCCATTTTAGGAGAAAAAGTTAAATTAAGAGGGGTCTTCCCCCAGCAGGAAGCATTTTATGGATGCTTGGTGCTGAATAGTTTTGGAAAAAAGCAGCAGTTTCTAGAAATCACAGAAAACAGCTTTATGGGGATGGAAAAAGTGGTTATTCAAGACATTGCTGACAGTTTAGTGGGATTGTGCTTTCTTATCACTATTGAAATATTTGCCTTCTTTTTAATCAAAGCATGTGATCATAGGGACAGTTGTCAAGTTTCCATCTGATTTAAATAACTCCCCATAAAATATTTAATTTTGCTCAATGAAAGACCTGCAAAACCATCTCATTCACCATTGTATTTCCTCTGTCGTTATGACTAAGGAAATAATCTACTAGTTGACGTTTTACTTCAGATTTTTGAGTCATCCTGCTTCACCAGGCTATTATTGCCAAGGATGATTTCCTACTAGAAAGAAAAAAAAAGATTTTAAAGCCCTGCAATTTTTTATGCTGTTATTTTGGGTCTGATTCCCTGACCAGCTTTTATCCTTGTTCAGTTTTAAACAAGAATATCTTATTTTTTAAACATATTTGGATTTGAGGCTGAGGGTTACTTGAGAGAACAGTTATTCTGACTTGACACAGAGACAGCTGAGACAAGTTGTTATGGCAGAAGCAGAAGGAAGAGTGGAAGGGTTGTCTCTCATTTGGGATTTTTTGAAAACAATGGAAAAATAAAGGACTCGATATCTTGGCAAGACACAGTCACACACATCACTGGGTTTAGTCACACAGGAGCTGCTAAGAAGTCTGTCAAGGCTCCAGGGTCAGTGAAATTCAGCTGAACTTGATGCACTGAACATCCTGTAAAACTTCTGCCAGCGGATCCAGGGATGTTAAACACATTTCCAGCTTGTTTATGGCAAAAACTAAAGCAACTGCCCTCACCCACCCCACCAAACCAAATCCCATATAACTTCTACAAATGTAAAGGAAGGATCTCATCCCACCTTCTCCCTGAAAAATATTTGAAGCAAGACAAGGGACAGAAGCCCAAAGTTGGAAAAGATCCCCATTCCCTCCATTTTGGGCAGGTGATGACCCAAATTCTACTTCAGTCATGGTTTTCAAACATCTCCTGTTTCCTGAAAGATCTGCCCCGTTCTTATATCCAACCTCACCCCCAACCCACACCCCCACATTTCTTGGGGTCTGAATGTCCTCTCTTAATCTTCGTCTGCTCAAAACACACTGAAACAGAAAAATTAGGTAAAAAATATCTTTGCTGGCACGTTCAGTGTTTTTCTCTCTCTCTTGACTCCCACGGGACCTCTCCCAGATCCATGCCCAACCTACCATGGCCTCCAGGAGCCTGGGTTTGGGTGCTGGCTTCATGAACCAGCACAGGGGGCCCAGCTGATGTTTCTGAGAGGTCTGGAGGAACAGACCCAGGAAGGCCGAGGCCACCTTCTCCTCTCATGCCCAGGGGAAGAGTCACCAGCATTGACGCCGAGTCCATGAGCGTCCTCAGGGCTGTCTTGATCTCCTTATCGGCGCGTTGGAGCGAGGCCTGGACAGAAGTCTCCATCCTTGGCTGTGGGGGAGTCATTCCTACAGGCAAGAACAACAGCTTTTCTCTCTCAAGGGCAAAAAGAAAACAGTAGCACCGCCCAACCCATGGGAATCTTTGCAATTGTATCGTTTGACTCTCCTAGAGCAGAGAGTTGATGTGGAAATGCTTATTCCAGCAAGAGGGAATGTGGCTGAGACTTGGAATAAGAAGGCTGGCACAATGTGCTTTGGAAAGAGGTGTCCCCCCAGGCTGAGGACACTGTGCCACACTGTGTACACATGTGGGGTCTCCCTAGACAGTGGAACAAAGGATTCATCTCCCGGCTCAACCCTACGTTGGCTGGTCAAAAATACCTTTATTAATCATAGAATATCCTGAACTGGAAGGGACCCACAAGGATCATCAAAGTCTAACTCCTGGCCCTGCACAAGATCCCAACAATCCCAGCCCGTCCCTGACAGTGTTGTCCAAACACTCCCTGAGCTCTGTCAGCCTTGGGGCCATGCCCACTGCCCTGGGGAGCCTGTTCAGTGCCAACCACCCTCTGGGGGAGGAACTAATCAATGATCTGAACCCACTGCACTGATACAGATCCTGTGTGCCAGGAGGACGTTGTCCTCACAGGGAAGAAGGAGGGAAAAGGCACCAGTGTCATCAGTGGCTCTGGAGAAGGGCAGGGGAAAGAAGGGAAGGTTTTTCTGCTTCATGATAGGACAGCAGAAAAGCTGTTCTTTGCTCCTGAGTGAGGTGTTTGTCCTACTTTACCATTTCTGGATATTTTTGCTGGGCTTTGCTGCAGGAGGTACCTGAGACCTTTAAGTTTGTTCTCAGCTATGCCTTTACAAGATACCCCAGAAGTGAAGTCATCTGGTCTGTACAGTCATGCCCAGCAGTGCTGCAGAGGAGAGCATCATACAGAGGAAGAGGTAACTCCTGCCTCAAGAAACTCACTGTCTTGAAGGCAGAGAGAAGACAGAAGCTTTAAACACCGAAAAATGGACTTCCAAAGCATAAGTTTTTGCAGAATGGCCACCCAGAAGACAAAGAGCATGGTTTCACCCCCACCCAGTGATAGAAGCAGCTACTCTAGAATGGGATCATAGGAGCTCAGGAGTTCATCTCATCAATTTACTGCCCAATAAACCTTTCACAGATCTTGAAGAGGTACAACAAAGGGACAGGTGATGTTTAGGGAAGCCCTCAAGTAACCATCAAGGCAGGCAAAATGCATGTCAGACAAAGAGAAATCATCACGTTCATGATGTGATTGCTCACCAAGCAAGAGAGAAAACTCAAACCATCGTGTGGTTCAAGAAAAAATGCGAGCACTTGGAACAAAGATCTCTGACCTGTTTAATGTCATTGACATGTGAGCACATCCTGTAGCTGTTTAGATTCTGCTCCTTTCCCATCCTTAAGGAAGTAGATTCTCACGATAGGTCAAGTTTGGATCAGCTCCCTTCGAAGACACATCGCTTGTTTTTTGTTTTCAATGATCATAGTGGTTATGAAATATTTATTTTCTAAATTTTTGGATGGAAAAAGCAAGTTTTGCTCACTCGGTGCCCCAGACTGACCCTCCGTGTTTGTCAGCACTGGGATGGGTGGAAGATTTTAAGTATTTTCCTAGAGAAATATTTCAATTCCCTGGTGTTCCTGTTGTGATTGCTGCCAGCTGGTGCTGACCTGTGAGCTGGGCAGCTGCCAACAAGGGATCTCTCTGGAAAGGTATGAAACGCTCAGGATCTCTCAGTGAGGAAATACATAGAGATATAGAAGTTATATATAATCACAGGTCTCCTCCATACTGCTAAACCCACCATTTTCACAGCTGTTTAGGGATGTTACACCACCTTCTTCCTTCTTTAGGACACTGATTCAAGCTGCTGACCTGAGGAACTTCAATATCCACCAAGGTACATGGAACCAACCCCACAGTGATGACACACCCGTCCGTGATGGACAAAAATTCTCAGTTCTAAAATCCCACCCTTGAACCTTTCCACCCCACATCTCCTTCAGCCCACAGCCAGGGAATTGTGTCAAGACTGACACGCATTTTGAAGTTCCAGTTCGGTCTCAGAGAAGGACCCAAGAGGACAAATATCATTTGAGATTATTGACTCATAGGCCTGAGTTGGAAATATCCCTAAGAACAGATCCTTCCACTTCAACAGTTCTGAAACTTCCTATAAAAAAAGAGGGCCAGAGCCCAACTGAATTATTGTTCTTGGGCCATGATCCAGCTCCTGCTGAAGTCAGGGGGAGAAGAGGATGAGCTGATGGAATATCAAATGCCATAACAAAGAACACAGAAACCCAAGGAGTTCAGTGACAGCTGATGCAAGACATTTATTGATATAAACTCAGCACTTAACAGCGTATCTTGCATTGGATTTTTTTTTTTTTTGGTGTGTGTTTTTTTTTTCTTTTTGTACCTCAAGCAAACTGAAGTTTCCACTTTATTAATACCCATTTACCTGCAGGAATTTTAGTAAAACATCCACTGTATTAAAATCTTTCATACAGCTGTATGTTTTCATCTACAAGAAATAAATCCCTACACGTCTCATTAGTTATCTACAGAGTTTAATCACTTACAAGCATAATTTTTAACCTCTAGGAAAATATTTTGAAGGTATATGTAATGAACTTTTCATAAACCTTTCACTTTTTGAACAGAGGATTTTAAAAATTTCTTTCAATTGATTCTCTGTTGCTTAAATTTCAAAAGAAAATGTAAACAGATGTTAATTGCTTTGAGCTAATGAATCAAAGTATAATTATTTCTTCTATGACCATCTGAACTGCAGCCTTAGTGTCTTTAGAAAAACCTGAGCATCAACCACAACAGGAGGAAACCTCCCATTCCTTTACACATCTTCATTAACTTTTGAATGAATATCATATTTTAAAAGCTTATCACAGGGCAAATTCTTTTCTCAGCAGTATCTTTGTAAATCTGAACGAAACCCACTTCCTTCAGTGGAATTTTTCTAGATTGATACTGGAATAACTGAGATCAGAATCAGGCCCAATATAAAAGAAATATTTCCAGTTTTGAAAGTATTTCCCCGTTGTGTGTCTGTTACTTTCCAATGTACAGTGCAATATATGAAAAAAGCACTAATATATATATCCATTGTATTGCTGATTATAAAACAAACAGTATAAACCAAGGAGATGTTATAAAAAAACGGGAGAGTACCATAAAGGAAGCTTGATTTTCTTCACCACACATAACCCCTGGAAAAGCATCCTATATCATGAAGGTAGTGCACGTTATATTCCACACAACATCCTGTCTGGATGCAGAGAGTGAAAGGCTGTGAAATCACTGCGTTCATTTTAGTCAGCACATGATCAAGGTGCAGCCACGGAAGGGAAAAAAGATAACGTGTTCTTTTCTCCAAGCACCTTCTGTGAATTCAGTCCCTGTCAGCAGGAATATTTTGCCAAGACTCCAGAACAAGCTCCTCGATATTACCTGGCCAGGAAACACTGAGACAACACCACACACACATTCCCAAGGCAGAAACTCACTCCATCCTCCCTCCTCAGGCTGCTCGGAAATCCAGCAGTGCCCGGGCATTTCTGGTTTCCCTACACCACCAAAGGGAAAACATTTCCTGTTGCAACACTTGTAGAGAGCTCAGCTAGGACAAAGTGTGGGGATTTTTCACCCTACCCCTCTGCCAGCCACAGGGCCAGCGCTTGGTCCTGCTGAGATCAATGACAAACTCCATCTGATTTCAGCTGGCACCAAGGTTGGGCCGGTGAGCTCTTTTCTTTCCAGGGCTGAGCAGCTTGTTGAAGGTCTGTGCAACATCCCTTTTGGGGGAAGCCAACAGGAATGGGCTCAGTGCATCTCAGCCTTCCCCTCCATCTGCATTCCCACTGCAGAGCTCCAGAGGAACTCCACAGAAAGCAATCCCTCTACAAGACATCCCAGCGTTCCGGGTTACAGGAACACGATGCAACTGCAACGGGCAACCCAATACATTTTGAACAGATCTATTTTTCAACCAAACATTTATGGTAAAGCTCTCTTTTCTTTTTTTCTTATTTTTTTTCTTTTAAATATATTTTTGTGCTCCTGCTACTTTGCTGTAGCTCAGTGGTAAATTCCTCTCAGCACGTATAGGATACACCATCCATCCGTTAGCAGGAATGTTTCACCACTGGCGTGTGCAGGAGACCAAATACTAGTCCAGTAATATTTATTGGCAAAGACCACATTTGTGATTCGTTTAAGATCACATTTGTGATTCTCTGCACATGTTAGTGCTTGATTGCAGGTACAGAAATCATTTTGTGCAGCACTTAAACCTTTAAGTGCACATAAAGTAAATTATATTTTAAAAGATATGGTATATAAATGCTATATAAATCCACTTCACTAGAATGCAGAATAATGAAACCTACATTATTAGACAACTAGGAAGTGGATTTGAAAATATCAGTCATTTAAAAAAAAATAGTCTTTTTCACTTAAAGCAGAACAACAAAACTCTTGTTTCCTCATGACAGTGGGATTTTCACCACTGACTTTAGTAAAACTGGGATGTCAACCAAAAGGCCTGAGCAGCCCTTTGCATCCCTAGTAAATGTAATATTTACTGTATATATTTAATTCCGTGGCAGGAGTTTAGACTAATGTAACCAGACTGTGCGTGTTGAAAGGTTTATAAAGAAATTTTGGTAGAGCTAAGTGGTGTCAAAAGTGTAGAGCAGAGTCAAAGCAATGTGAAGCTTCATGACCTTTGGGCCCACACGGTGACAGGAGACACTTTAGCTGGAAAAAATCCTCCTATCCTGGGCTGCTGAAAGATGCTGAAAAGCTTGGTTTTCACCTTCTTGCCACACCATGAATTGGCGCATGAAACAATTTTTAAGTTCATGGACAAAAATGCACTTTTCCACTCGTACTTCTGTCATAGGTAGAAGAATCAGGCTTTTCCTAAACCTACCATCACTGCCCCACTATGGAATGATATATGTTCACCTCGGTCAAAGCCTTTAAAGCTACAAACTGTTC